CACACCTATCATCCCAACATTTGGGAGGCTGAGGCAGGTAGATCTGGGTGAGTTTGAGGCCAACCTGGGCTACACAGTGAGTTTAAGTGCAGCTTGAATTACATAGCTAGACCGTATGTGTGTGTGTGTGTGTGTGTGAGAGAGAGAGAGAGAGAGAGAGAGAGACAGACAGACAGACAGAGACAGAGAAAGAGAGACAGTGAGAGAGAGAGAGAGACAGAGAGAGACAGAGAGAGATTAAGCCACAGAGGGTTAAGAACAGGGCAGAGAGGTGAAGCAATTAGACTGTTTTAAGAGTTCTAGTCCCTCTCAGATGTGCCACAGGAAGCTGAGGGCCACCATCTGTGATGAGGTCTTGATTTGACCTTTGAAAAGAAGCAGAGGAATCTTTCTTTTTTCCTGGTTAGTTGTGACTGTTGGCTTCCAGCTTTATGTGAAAAGGGTGCACTTTTGAGTAGGAAGCCTGCAAATATTGCTGGTAAGATGGACACAAGAGTGGGGCTGGTGTGGGGTGGGGTGAGATATGGAAGCACACCCTGCTCTGCTCCCTGCTTGGCGGTGCTGCAGACTGGCCTCAGCCTGTGTGAGCAGCTGCTTCCCCTGAACGGGACAACAGCTGTCCTGCTTCAGGGCCATGGGGGAGCTGTGGAGCCCCAGAGGACCTCAAGCAGGCCGTGTGCTTGCTCATGTTTGGTGTTAGTATAATTATTACATCTTCCAGGGTTAGCTTCTCTGCTCTGAAGCTGATGTGGGCTCCTAGGGACAGAGCTTGTGTCCTACTAATCACCAGATCCATTTAGCTCTGAGCACAAGGTTTGTTGATACATAAATATTTTATGAACTAAAAAATATCTTGAGGTAAGAAGAGACAACTGAGATATATATCTATATATAATTACTTTTGTTTTGTTTTTCTTTGTAAAGTAAATATTTATCTCCTTAATGCACAAAAGAGTATTTGGATACCGAACACCACAGGTCAATGTTCTTGTTTGCCAGGAGAAGTCACTCTACCCAGTTTCAGCAAGAAGAAGTTTATTGAAGTGTATTTGGAAGTTCACACCGGGCCAGGGTCAGGCTGCTGCAAATGGATAGCATCCTTCACCATCTGGTGTTGGCTGTGGGTCCCAAGGAAATTACTCCTAGGTTCTTGGTGTTGTGAACAAAGAACTGGATCACACACAAAGACAACAGGCATTGAAGGTGGACAAGTGTGCTCTGGAGAGCATCAGTGGGCCAGGAGACAGGCTTACAGCAGCCACGAGGACAAGGGAAGGGGTTTTTGTGGCTTGGATTCCTTGGTTACTTCTCTCTCACACAGACAGCATCAGGACACTGCCCTATCAGAAAGTCATTTGGCCTGGCTGTGGATATGAGCTGTCCTGTTGAAGGTTCCCTTTATTTCCTGGTGGGTGAAAATGAAGAACTGAGAACAGTGCTTACCTGTTTGGGCCCATCTGCAGTGTTCAGAAACTGGGTCACCCTGGGTCCTATGTGCTAGGCATGTGCCCTGGGTCTCCCCGAAGGCATGTCACACTCACTCACTTGACTGGTTCTGCCCCAGCTCCAGTCTCCTACCTCAAATCCACAGTGTCCCCCGGCCACCACCCTGCTGCCACCAGACACAGCCACACCTTGCTCTGCAGAGCCTCTGTGGTGGGCCCCCACTAGAAGATGTGCACATCTGTTCCTCTGCTTCCTCAGCTGCTCAGTCTCCGTAGGCCTTGAGGTCATGTGTCCAATTAGTGACCTAAGCCACAGCTCTGCTAACCTCCCAGCTGCGTTAGAGCCAGGAACTAAGTTTGGGGGCCTCTAGCTTGGGAAGGCAGGGTTCCTGCCATGGAGAATTCTCCCATGACTCAGGGCTGATACTTAAGGCTGGTGGGCAGCCAAACAATAAAACCGTATTAAGAAAGAGAAATCATGTTAAACAGGCCAAAAACACCTCTGCTGACAGGAGGTTAGAATCCAGTCACAATGAGGTGCATATGTAACGTATTTAACTGCATCGCTAGTGAGGGTCACTGAAATCAAACAAGTGCAGAGAAAACTACATTTCAGGGTCTCAGTTTAATGACTGTGAAAATTTGATTTTAAATAGAGAATTTGCATTTAACTGTTATACCTTCTCAGTTTGTTTAACTAGATTTTCTGTCAAATTGAATACTAAAATAGACATATAGCATTTAAAAGCCTAAGAAGCGTATCTTGCCTGGTTCAACTCCATTAATATTGACATGAAGAAAACAGAGATCTAGAAAATTTCTATAGTTTACTCACTGTTGAAAAACAAATCATGCTGAAGGACCTAATGGTTCCATTGGATGTCAAAGTCTCCTTCAGTATAGTCATGAAACAGAACGCTTTGGCCAAAAGGGTGCAAGTCTTTCTTTATTGTCTTTGGTATCCAGCCAGAAAGGCTTCTCAACTTGCTGAGTTCTGGAAGATTTATTTCTGCACCCTCTGGATAGGCTGAAGTTTCAGACATAAAGAATGAGAGACATAAAACCAATTTCCACAGGAACCATGTTGTAGAAAATACTGCTGCTTTCCCCCATGAGTGTGTGCATATGTGTGCACACACACACACACACGTGTGTAAAAGAGTGCATGTGATCAAACAGTCAGAGGGAGGGGCTGCCTTCCATAGCCCCCTCCATGGGCAATCCCCAGTGGCCTGAGCAGTCACCCCAGAATACATCACCACCCTGGCAACCAAACTGTTAACCACAGTGGGTGTTTGGGGGCTACTCAGGCCTCACTCAAACCATGGTGGACTATTCCTACTCATGAGTGCTCTGGCTTCAGGACCTAAGCTCTTCCTGAAGGCCTGGTCTTCTGATTGCATCTCTCTGGGGATTAGAATTTCCATATGAAAATTTGGGGGCAATAAAAACATTGAAATCATAACAGAAGGAGGCTGGGTTCCCAATCCAGCACAGAATTCCTATCGGGGGTATGGAGGTGGTCAGGGAAGGATTTACCAGGATGATATTTCACCTGAATTTTAAGAGATAAACAGGAACTCAAGGAGTACATTCCAAGTGGAAGAATTGCAGAATCATGGCTTCTATTATATTTAAATACAGGAATCTCTAAAAAATAGGCTGGGGTCAAGAGAGTAATTCTTTCTCCACTCCCCGAGGTGCTAACAGCAGGTTGGAAGACATTTAAAGTAGAAAATCAAATAAGTAACTCTTATTCAGGAGGAAAGGAGGCTGGATAGGCGCAACTGACTTCCCTCCATTAGGCCTTTCACTTCTTGTAGCAGAGCAAACCAACTCCAGGACAAAAAGGAGAGGGCATAGGGTCAAGATGAAGGGAAGATGTGGTTTTCAAAACCAACTACATATCTGACAAAGAAAACGAAGGTAAACACCAAGTGATGGGATGAGAGAAGTGGAAGGGGAGTCCTTGTGGCCCCACAGGTAAGTGACCATGCCTTTGTCATTTGCTGTCTGGTTGCTTCTGAATCATTTGACAAATATTCATTGAGAGTCAGACACAGAACTAAATTTTCATACATAAATTATTACTTATATCTAGAAATAGATGGAAGACTTAATTCATCATGTTGAACATTAATCTCAAGGCATAAACCTGGGTCCAACAGACCCATCCCTTAAATTACTACTGTAAATTTGTCTTTTAGCATTATAATTGCTGGCTGTGCATCTTAGTACCTTTCCCCGAGGGATACAGGAAGCCATCCATGTGTTTACTCACTTGGTATGTTGAAAAGTAAGGAGTGTCACACATGTGAAAGTGGCAAAATGGGATTTAGACCCACCTTTATGTGCCATCATCTAACTGGCTTTGTGTGTGTTTACCCAAGCATCATAGAGAATGGAATAGACCCATGCCACTCCAGTATTTAAACATTTTTTTTCTTTTGGTTTTTTCCAGAAGAAGTAGCTCAGTTCTGTACAGTAATACATGAAAAAACCAGATTTGCAAGTTTTGGAGGATGTCAAAAGTGAATCATTAGACCAAAGGAGATGAAGGAGAAAGTAAGAATTAAATGCAATTTTGTTACCAGGTTCTGGGTGCTGGGTCTCCTTCTAGAGGTGTTTTCTAGGTTTCTTCTGTCCTGAACAAAGACTGGGCCAAGACAGGCAGAGAAAGGAACAAGATTTTATGTTTGTTAAAGGTGAGAAAAGAAACAGGCTCACTACAGTGTGAGCTTGGACTAAGAGAAAAATAGGAAAAGAAACACACCCTACAGTGTGAGCATGGGCCGCTGTGAAGACAGCACTCAGGACAATAGCAGAGAGTTGGACATCCACTGTCCTTTTGTATCTCCCACGCTTCAGGTAGGCCTCAGGTGTAGACCAGCCTGTCCAGTGCTACTGCAGTTCTTGTGAGAAGTTCACATCTGCCCTTGAGAGCTGTCATGAGTTTGGGTTCTGGGATTCTTCAGTTACCAGGTCCTGCCCACCTCTCTGGTTAGTCTGCCACACTGCTGTCTCCTGCCTCACTGTCATCTCCTGAACCAGATTCGGAACTGGCAAAAGACTGTCACAGGAAAACTAGTAACACCTCCTTAAAGTGTAGATATTAGTTCATAGAAACATTCCCACTTTGGCTTCATAATTTTGAGACATTTACCTCAGCAATGTACCTGTACAAGCAGATATGTACCTGATGTCGTATGCTGACGACATCAGGGCACTGGATAAGGCAGCACTGGTAGAGATGCCCATGGTTAGGCTATTTACTGCTGGGGTCCCTACTGGCTCTGCCCAGTCAAGGCAAGAAGCTGAGTTACTTGTGCTATGTCTGTGGCTTTTCCAGAAGCATCAAACTATCCCAAGATAAAAAAGTTATTAATAAAAACACAACAGGAAAAACCCCAATGGCTCCAGCTCTTGCTGGGTAAATGACAAAGTCTTCATAGGACAGCTATTTAAAGCTGCAACCTTCCTAGCCTGGTCTCCTGCTCTTGTCCACTTCACTCTTCTCCAAAGCACTTCACTTCACCTAACATGTACAGCACTTACCTCTCCATCTGTGCATCGGCTGCCTCCTCCCCTTGCCACCACACAGAGGCCACATAACAGGAAGTCTCATGTCTTCTGCTCACTGCAGGGAGGAAGGTGACGGATAAAAGAAGAGATGAATGACTGCATTAAACAAACTTTTGCCTGAAATCCTTATAATTCTAAAACTCACTTTTAACTGCTGTAAGTTTTAAACTCCAAGTGGAGAAAGCAATGCTGCCTTTAACAGCCATTTAAAAATAAAACTGACACACTGCCCATGCATGGTGCTCACATCTGTAATCCCAACTGAGGCAAGAGGATCATGAGAGTCTGAGATCAGCCTAGGCCACATGGCAAGACCCTGACTCAAAAGAATAAAAAAAAAAAAAACTTATATAATAAACAGGGTTTTAATCTTTTCCTTTTTATTGCTTTATTCAACAAGGTCATGTTTGCATAGTTAATCTCATTAATAACTAATGACCTTTTGAATTTTGAATACTACTTACATGTTGAACTTACTTTCCAAATAGATAAGTTTCACAATAAGTGCTGGAGTTAACGCTGTCTGTCTAACTCCTGCCTACCATGTGTAAAGAGTGGTTAAGGTCCAGCTGGAGCTGGTCGTGTAGCTCATTGTTAGAACACTTGCTTAGCACATGCAAGGTACTGGGCTCAATTCCATAGAGGGAGGAAACAACTTTAAACTAGTTAATTTTAGTTTTTTGTTTGTGGTTTATTTAGTTGTTATGAGTTTTTGTTTCTTTGGTTGGGGCTTGTTTGTTTTGTGACAGGGTCTGTGTGTAGCTCAGGCTGGCCTTGAACTTGCAGAAGTTCTCTTGCCTCAGCCTCCTGAGTGTTGAGATTATAGGCATGCTCCACTACAGTTAGCAAAATATTTATTTGGTTTTAGAGCTTTTTCTGGAATCTACAGAAAGCAAAGAAGGTACTCTATGTTGTTTTCATTTTTGTTTTGATATTTTCACTGGAATATTGGAAAAGAATACACAAAAAAAAATACCAGTTTCAAGTACTCAGCTTCATAAATACTTGCAAGCTGAGCATTCTTGCTTACGCAGTACTATGATCAAAAATAGAACTCTATGAGCACCTCTATTCCTTTCTTGTACTCTTTCCTCCTCTAGGATAATCAATATTATGACATCAAAGGACTAAGTTTAGTACCACCCCTTTTTGGAACATTGTTTAAATGTAATCTTACAGAATGACCCTTTCGGATGGATTTTCTTTCATTCACTATATGTTTGTAAGATTCATCTACATTGTTCACATTGTTGCCCACAGTGATAAATCAGCTGTTCTTACTTTAGACAGTTTTTCTACCCTCTCTGTGGATGTTTGGGTAGTTCACACTTTAGGCCACTCCTTTATCACTGAACTACTGTGGACATTCTTACAGGGATCTGTAAGAATGGAATGGAATGGTTTGTTAAAGGTGAGCCATTCCAGGAGGGGAATGGCTTGATACATATATATGCAGCTCTCGTAGACAATGCCAATTTTTTTCTTATGCATTGTTGTAGCAGCATTCATATCAGTGATGAGTTCTAGCTCCATCCTCCCCAACATTTTGTTGATTTTATTTTTATCTTTGTGGTTCTGGGAACTGAATCTGGGGCTTTCCACTGAGCTACATTCTCAGCCCTTTAATTTTTTTTTTTTTTCCAAGACGAGTTCTCATCTAGTTGCCAAGTTTCCCAGGCTAGGCCCAATCCTGCAATCCTTCCCAGAGTGCGGGATCAGAGGTGTGTGTCAGCACGTTGGCGTAGCATTTGAACTTGGCCATGGCAGGACACAGACGTGCGGAAGCCAGGAGAAAAGCTGTGTTTCGAAGGAATTGTTTTCAAAGAAAAATCCCCATGTGCTGAGTCTAGAAGTAGCAACAAAAAGTAACCAAAACTGGTGTCAGCAGGCAAATACAAGGCCTCAGCTGTTTGAGTGAGGAAACGAGGTCTGATGGCCTCTAGCAGCGCTTCTGTTTGGCCAGTGAGTGGGAAGGGCGAGCCCCCCCCCCCCCCCCCCCCGCTTCACGCTGGGGCTTTCCAAACCACCAGCTTTGCCAAGAGAATCAGCCTCTGTGACACCTGCATCGCACACTTACAAACGCTCTCCTACGGTGCTAAAACATAACACACTGAGTACAGTGTTAAATCTAAATATCTCTCATGCACTCCTTTAGTCTAACAAGGTCCGTGAGAAGCCGCTTCTGCTTCATTTCATTTATTCATCAGCATCTGTGGCGCCCTCACGGGTGACTGGGTGGGGCAGGAAATGTGCAGTCCTCCCCTGTCGCGCGTGCGGTGAGTTCACGCGTGCTTTCGCTGGGTCTGAAGGAGCAGAGCCCATGCTGGACGCAGGGTTGCAACCCTTCTCCGAGGGGTCTCCAGCTGTGACCTCTCTTTCCCTGCCCACTTTATTTGTGGCCCTGAACGCCTTTGCATGTGGTTGGGTGACAGTGGCCTGTTTGTCTCATGGTGAGTGGGGGAGCGGAGGACTACCGCATGCCAGGCCGTGTCCATGAGGCCCACTGCCTTGGGTTAGGGAAAGAACACAGCCCAAATGGCCTGCCCTCAGTATTCAGGGTACAAAGTGGGGTGCCTGCCTTCCGGAGTGGCGAGCATCGCTGTGTGTAGGAAAGGCGCATGGAGCGCCTGCAGTAACAGCAATTGAGCCTGGCACGTGGCTCACTGTCTTGGACACAGTGAATGAATGATGATTTTCTAACGGACCTAGTTCAGGGGCAGGGTGGTAAGGACAGCAAATCGAGAGGCTAAGAAAAAACAAAAACATTTCAGCAAAAAACATTTACTAGCTACCTATGAATCTTTTTTTTTTAAAACAGGATCTCTCCGTGTAGTTCAGGCTGGCCTTGAACTCAATATTTGCTCAGGCTAGCCTCAAATCTGTTGATAATTCTCCTGCCTCAGCCTTCTGAGTGCTGGGATTATAAGTGTGCACTCTATGCCTGACTATATAAATCACTTTGGAAAAGGTGGCGGTGATGAGTTTCCATAAAGTTTCCAACATTCAAGCACATTTACTACTATATTCAAATACATTTTTTTTTCAGTGCTGGAACTGAACCAGCACCTCAAGCGTGCTAGGCAGTGCTAGGCTACCACTGAGCCACATCCCCAGGCCCCCAACTTTTATACTTGCATACGCTTTGATGGGCATGGAATTCTTTGCAAGCAGAGCTGACAAGTAGCAGTGTTGTTTTAAGGGAGGGACTTAAACTGCAACAGCACCTGGGAGGTATTTAAAAAATTTTACCATTTGAGCCAGGCGTGGTGGCTCACACCTGTACTCCCAGCCCTCAGGAGGCTGAGGTGGTAGGATCATTGGGAGTTCGAGACCAGCCTGGGCTACAAAGTGAGCTCAAGTCCAGCCTGAACTTGCTTAGCGAGACCTCGTCTCAAAAAAGACAAAAAAATTTTTTTGCCATTTGTCTATGGTACCCACTAAAATTTCATGCTTTGTTTTAAACCGAGTGCTACTAGTTTCAGATCTCTTAAGAGCTGTGAATTTGAAACAGCCTGTGAAATTGGGATTCTGGGCTTTCCAACTGGATTAATCATTCAAGTCTCGCTTGCGCCCTCTAGTGTCTGATAACTGTTACAGCAGCTAATCGTCCCCCACTGTCACCTACCAGATAATGCCTTAATTATCAAAAATCTAGGGTTCTTGAACAGTCCAGGGAATATGCGGGGGTAAAAGATTATGTGAATTACAATATAGCCTTTTGTTCTTTTCTCTCTTTTCATTTTAAATTTGAGATACTGCTCAGAAGCGAAAGGATTTCTTCTCAGGTTGGTTTTGTTTTGGGGTGGTTGGTGGATTTTTCTTTGTTTTGTTTTTGTTGCTTTTTTTCTGGTTGTTTGGTTTTGGTTTTTTGATACAAGGTCTTGCTATGTAACCAGACTGACCATAAACTCATGGTGATCACCTGCCTTAGCCTCCAGAGTGCTGGAATCACAGGCATGTGTCACCACAGCTGGCTACTTTCTCAGTTTTATCTCAAGCACACATCATTGCATTTTTATTAATCTATCACTTGCTGTGGTAATTTCTTTCTCTCCATATGTTGAAAAAGAAATTATTGTCAATATATAGAATTTCCTTCCATGTTTGTACTTGGGCAAAATGTTATGAATTTTGTCTCAGATTTTATATTGTTCTGTAGGTTATGTCGGTTTAGCATTTTCATTATTTTAAAGTCAGTATGAGGGCCAAGGATACAGGTCAGAGACACAGCGTCTTCCTGGCATATGCAAGGTTGTGTTCCATCCCTGGGACCAAAAAACAAAACAAAACAAAAGCCCAAACCTACATGGAGTAGTACTCAATCATAAAGAAGAATAAACTGGAGAGACTTATAGGTAAATTGGATACAACTTGAGACCATGTGTAAACATCATATTGTTTCATTAGTGTGAGAAAAAGTAGTATGTTCATAAAAAGTAGTTAAGAAAATTGTATTACTGATTTCTCTGAGCTCACTGAAGAAGATTTATGCTGGTATTGTTCAGACAATTGAATGCCAATATCTTGTGCTCTGTGAATGATCTGGGGATGACAATGTGCATTGTATGTACAATTGCTCCCTGATTGACATGTTTTGAAACTTTTAGAGTTTTTTTCTTCTTTTTCTTTTTCTCCTTGAAATAAAATGGATTTGGAAAAAAAATAAAGTATATTTTCAGTGTAAAAATATTTTGGGAAATACGGTAAAGACAAGATTAAGATAAAAACAAGCACTAATTCTATCCACGAGTAACTGCAGGCAACCCTAGTTCTTCTAACGCTGTTTACACAAAGTGTTTGCGCTGAATTCCTAGGTCTCCAAAGTGCTTCTCAGTTTTGGGTTAAAGACTGCAAAGGTTCGCTTACTGCACAGTGCTGTTCTCTCAGAACGTATCAGGCGCATGCGAGTGGCGAGGTCGTTTTCAACCCGCTCTGGCGTGAAGACTGGGCTTTTGCACAGGTGCCGTCTGCATGCGTCCCAGCTGCCGTGCACCTGCATCTGTCACACGGGACGTGTTTTCGGGACAGCACTGGGGTGAAGTTCGTCTGGCATCCCTTCCCGTTCAATAATCTCGGCTCCTTGAACTGAGACCGTATTTCAATCTTTGGGCCTTTATGGAAGTCCTGGAGCCTCGCCAGAGGCTACAGGCGTGTGGGCAAGGGAGCACTGACGCAGTCGCTGTTGTTGTCACCTTTATTACCTCGCGTCCCCCTGCACCCCCCCCCCCCCGGCTGGCCGTGTCTCCTCCCCCGCCACCGCCCGGTCAGGCCCTGTATAAAGTGCGCTGCCCGCTGCAGGCAGCAGAACCGCCTGCCCGGGTTGGCTCGGTTCGGTTCCGTCCGCTCTCCGCCGCGCCGCAGTCCCGCGCCCACACTGCACAGATGGCACCCTTGGGGGGCAAGCAGGCCCGGAAGGTGAGTCCCCGGGAACCTGGCTGCGCCCGGGCGCCGATGGCGAGCGCCCCCCGGCGGGCACGGGTCTCCGGGCAGGGCCGTCAGGGCGGCGGGCGGCGGGGACGGGAAGGGGACGGGACGGGACGGGATGGGACGGGGACGGCGCGGCGCCCTCCGAGGTGAGCGCCCGGCCCGGGCTGGCCTGCACTGGGGGCCGGGTCGAGCCCAGGGCCGCGCGCAGCTGCACCCGCGCGGAGACGGGATCTTGCCGAGCTGCTGCGGCCCGGCTGTGGCAGGAAGAAGCGCAGACAGGAGCGCAGCAGGTCGGGGTTATCTCGGGACGCACCGAGAGGGGTCCTCGGCGCGCGGCGGGGCGAGAAAGGCAGAGGAAGAACGGAGATCTGCGCCCCCCGCGGCGCCCCCACCCTCCACCTCCGCGGCTCGGGGCTGGGCCGGCTGAGGAGGCGGCGCGCGGCCAGTCTGGCCGGAGCGTCCGTCCGCCGGGCTCCAACTTCGGGTCTTTCTGCCTCGGTCTCCCCGAGTGTGTGCGCCACCTTGCCCAGTGCAGTGAGGGATTCCAGTCCCCTCTCCAAACTCAAACCGAGAAACTGACACTTAGAGGAACTACCTAGGCAACAGGCAGATGTCACCGAAGAGGTTTCTTCGGTAGCTTCGTTTCTGGCTCAGCGGTAATGCGTGGACGCTCACGCCATCTACACGTTTGGCTGAAAACATGCTGCACAGCCAAGGGGTAGCTTACACCCACCCAGCTGGTAAAAGCTCGAACAGCGCCTGTATATATTATATATATATATATATATATATATATATATATATATATACATTTCTGTATATATTCTGCTAGCTTACTCTCTGGGCAAATATGTACTCTTTAAAGCAAAGTGAACTAATATTACATACACTTTGTAATACCTTTTTGCAAAACTCTTGTTTATAACATGTTCCACTTTTTAAAAATCTGTTCAGCATAAGATCAGACAATTCTGACACTGAGGTAACTGTACTTAATGTTTTCCAGGTAATTTTAAAATGTAAATTCTAAGAGCTGGTACATGCAGGCGTCCTTGCTCCACAGACGGTGGTCAGCATGGTTATTGAATAGTCTCACCCGACGAGCCACCAGATCCCAGATTCTTAGTGAGGCTGTGTTAGAAGGTGGTACTAAAGTCTGAAAGTACACATATGTTCAGCAAAAACTGCCAAGATGTCACAAATTAGTTCACCCACGTGAGAAGGATTTATGTCACCTTTGTTCACATCTTTATGTAACCACATTGGCAGGAGTACATATAGATAGATTCTTGGTTTAAAAAAATAAATAATAAATCAAAAACTAAGAGAAAAGAAAAAGAATTGTGTGCTTCAGGGCTCAGAGTGTAGCACAGCAGTACAGCACTTACCTAGCATGCATGAGGCTATGGGTTTGAACCCAGAAATGGCCAGGAGGAGAAGAGGGCTTTAGCAGGGTGACTGCAGCTTAACAGTGACATACTGTATGTCTTATAAAGACTTAGGGGTCAACATAACAAAGTGATAAGAGAGACAGGATAAAGATGTAAGGACACAGGGTCCTAATCACCTTGATTTGATTACTTGTGTTACATAGGAACTGAATCATCACACTTTCCCTGTAAATATGTACAACTTTTAAAATATACAATTTTGAATGAAGAAGAAAAGAAGTATAGATTTGAGGCTTTATAAGAAGGCTTTATTACAAATGCTTAATCCCTCGGAAACAATTCTTGCAGCATGCCCCCCTCCCACAGTGCCTGAGTCCTTCCTTCTCCTGCAGTGTGGGTTTGAGTCAGGGTCCTGCCACCACTGAACCACAGCTCAGGGGAACTCTAGTGTGTGTTTGGAAGAACATGCAGCACACACCACAGGAATGCACATGTTCCCACTGTAGGGACCTTCTGTCGGGGAGCTATGCACAAAACATGCACGTTTTTAGGGAAATCTAAAGAAATCATAATTCTCAAAAATGTTAGCACAAATCCTGAAAGTAGAAAATTGTAGCAATTCCAGTCACTCCTGTGCCCTTGCTTGCCATTGCAGGGCATCCTAGAACGCTTGGACGCCGGGGAGGTCGTGATTGGAGACGGAGGCTTTGTCTTTGCCCTGGAGAAGAGGGGCTATGTCAAGGCAGGACCCTGGACCCCGGAAGCTGCAGTGGAGCACCCCGAGGCAGGTGGGTACCCAGCTCTATTCTGAATCCTCACACATTGCTCCAGGTGCACAAGTTGCCCAGGCAAGTAAGCAGGCCAAGCTTTCCCAGGTGGCTTGGCCTGCCGGGCACGACAAGATGTGACTGCAGAATATGGTGGGTCACATGACAGCCCTCCCTGCCACTGTCCACTGTCCACTGTTCTCCTCCTAGGCCCTGCCCTGGAAGGCCTTCCTCTTGGCCTCCTCTCCCTGGTCGGTGACTGTAGGCGACCCGGCCGGTACAATGGCTGGCAGTACCTGTGTCCCCTGCCCTCTGCAGTGCACTTCCCTCCACACCTCGAAGAGCCTCCACCCTCAGCATGCAGGTCCCAGGACTGCTCCCCTGAGCTCTCCATGCTCAGCACCCCACCTCCCACTTGGCTCCTCTGCTTGTGCCCGGGACACCTGTTCCCAACCTGGGCAAGCACCAGCTTAGCATCCCTGACCCTTGCTCCCCAGGTTGCTGAGCCATTCCACTCTGTAGTCCCTGGCACCCAGCAGCAAACTGACCCCTGCACTGAGTGTGGCCATGAGTTATCCCTGTCACGCGAGCCTAGCCAGGCAGGGTCCACTATCTGCCCACTCCACACCTACTCTGAACAGTTCCTTCCTCCTGTTACTCTGAACACAAATCCCTGCAGGCCAGAGGAGAGGCAGGCAGCTGGAGGGGCCAGGCCAGATGCCAACTTACAGGGCAACTTGCTAGTATGGTTCACAAGGAGGAGGCACACATCTATAGAAGGGAGCTTATCCTGTGACTTTGGTCACCCAGAGGGCTTGCCTACCTGACAGCCGTCTAGAGCACTGCTCCTCTAGGACTTGGTCCAAGTCCCAACTTGCAGCTCTTCCTGCTCTCTGACTGTGTCACCCAGGAGACCCTCAGACTTCCATGCTTGGCCTCAACTCAGGGGCAAGGCCTCATGAGCCCCTTGCTGCACAGCTGGAGTCCCACAGCCCATCTGTCTAAGTTACTCTTCTCTTGTTGCTCAGACAAAATACCCAACGCCCAAAATGAAGGAAGAAAATATTTAGTTAGCTCAGTTTGTAGAGGTTTCAGTCATAATCAGCTGATTCCAAGGCAGGGTGGCGTGGCACAGGGGCAACACTTCAGGGCAGCAGAAGGCAGCAAGAGCGAAAAGAGCAAGAAGAGGGAAGTGAGACTCTTCTCCTCCCTTATCTTGCATGCAGGTTACCGTCCACATCATCTCTATGCTTTCTTCTTGAAGGATGTTTACAAAGTGAGGCCCCTGACCTCCTGCTGAGTCCCTTAATTAAGCTTCTAAACTTCTTAAACAACTATTAAAATCCACCTCTTGTCAACCAGACACATTTCTTTTTTTTTCTCTCTCTCTCTCTCTTTTTTTTTTTTTTTTTTTGTACTGGAGATCGAACTCACAACCTCACAATAGCCAGGCAGGTGCTCTGCCACTGAGCTATATCCCCAGCCCCAGACACATTTCTTTAAATTAGTCTCCAGATACAAAGACATGCTTCTTATCATTTCACAACTTGCACATTATAACACAAATTTAACAATCCCTAAACCCAGTGTTAAGTCTATCAACATTGTATTACATTGGAACCATAACATTCCACCCCTGTACCCTCAAAGACTCATGCACATCCTTTTATGCTAAAGGCATTTAGTCCATCTGCAAGAGTAGTCAAAGTTCTAACAGTTTTAGCATTGTGGAAAAGTCCAAGTCCCAAGTCTCCTCTGAGATTTAAGGCAAACTCTTAGCTGCAAGCCCCAGTACAAATGAAAACAAAGTTAAACACTTCCAACATTCAACTGCACAAAATACACATTTTACTCCAAATACTACAAACAGAGGAATATAAAGGATTGGGACCAAAGAAAGTCCAAAATCCAGCAGGGCAAACATTGTGTACACATCCATCATTTGAAGCGATCTGTGGCAAACTGTGAGCTCCAAAGGGCTTGTGTGCCTCCACCACTATGGCACTTCTGGTGGTTACAGTTCTCACGGATTCTCTCCAAGGCCTTCTGTGCTCCTTCCTTGTAGATTTCTTCAGATTATCCATGTTCATGGCTTCTTCAAACTTCTGGGATCTCCATTGCACCTTTGGGTTCATCCTCACAGCTCCACATACTTTCTCAGGGGCACATTCAGGGTGGAAGCTTCTTAACCAAGAAACTCTTGCATTCTGCATATATGTAAAACCAGTACCACATGAATGATGCCAAATTCTGCTGCCAGATGGAGCAGTAGCCAGGTCTTCCTCTCTCTTAATTGTAGGGGTTGAGTGTCTGTATCACTGGGCTCTCTGAATCCAGTTCTGAGAAGCAGATTTTCTATGCTGCTGCCATTTTGGATCCTGATGAGGGTGCTCCATTCTGGAACACGGTGTTTTGCAGCTTTCTTTCTTCTCAAAGGAGTCTTTCACTTTTGCAGTTTTGAGGTTGCAAAGGGTGAAGACTTGCTGCTTCTTGTGATGCCCTCAGGTCATGTTTTCTATTCTCCAGTTCTTTCTAGGTGATGGAGATCTTCTCAGCTCTATTTTTGCAGTCCACAGCTTTAGTGGAGCTTCCTATCTGGCCAAACTCACAACATTTTAAATCAGCCTTCTGGGCTCTTTACTCTTAATTTGCAACATAAATCTAGCTAAAATTCTCTAACAGTAGCCATTCCAAAGCCTCAACATTCAATTGCCTTGAAATTTCTTCTGGAAGATTAATTAGTTCACCACCATTAACTTTAGTCTCAGGAAAAATCTCTGGACATGAGCAAAATGCAAACAAACTTTTTGCCAAGTCATAATGTACACTGTCTGGAATCTAACAGCCAACACAGTCCTTCTTCCCATCAGAAACAACTTCTGAGTTCTAATCAGAATCTTTCATACAGAACAACCTAAGGTGTTCCACTGCTATTCTCACAGGTGACATCTCCAAATCTTTCCAAATTCTTCCAAGCCATTCCCAAGGGCTCTTGAACCACATGGTCAGGTACAGTCACAGCAGTGACCCCACACCTTTAGTACCAAAGTGTGTGTTAGTTTATAGAGGTTTCAGTGCATAATCAGCTGGCTCCAAGGCAGGGTGGCACAGCACAGGGGCAACACTTCAAGGTGGCAGAGGTCAGCAAAAGCAGCCAGAGCAAAAAGGGGAAAACCAGCATCTTCTCCTCCCTTTTATTGCATGCAGGCTCCCTGTCCACACCATCTCTGTGCCCTACTCTTGCACAAGCTAGTATGTTTACAAAGTAAGGACCCTGGCTCCCTGCTGATCACTTAGTTAAGCTTCTACACTTTTCAATTCTCAAGTTGACACAGTGTATCAACCATTACACAGTCCCATGTAGTCATCACCTTTACCACACTGGCTGTCCACCAGCCAGTGGACACTGGGTGTCACTCATTACAGCAGCTGGCCACATTTTCCTGACAGGCAGCTACCCTGATCACCACTGCTTAGCATTTTTAACTGCACTGCTCCTGGCTGTTTTTAACAGTGCTTGAGCCACTATCAGAGACCTCCTGCCATTGGTAGTGGAAGCCCCAGCTCCACAGTGATATCCTCCAGGGTCTCTGAACATTCTCCTGAGGGAAGTTATTGTAGATAGGCCCCAGAACCCCAGTGCTGTGGGGAGATGTGTGTGTAGGCAGGGAAATGAGAACCTCCTTCCAGAGCTCTGCAGCAGACACAGCTGGGGTCTCATGTCCTCCCCAACCCTAGGCCATAGACGGCCAGCCAAGCCTCTGCAGCTGCAAGAAGAACCTCGAGGGAGAGATGGGGGCTGAGACCTCAGCCATCATGGCCTTTCTATTATTCCTCATTCTTGTCTTGAGAGCACTGTCAGATTTTGTTCTCGGTCACTGCAACATCCTGGCCCCCAGCAAGGTTGAAGCCTGACGTGTGGGCTGCGTGACTGAAGGATGACACCTTCACAGCAAGCCAGGAGAAGGGCAGAGCAGCTTCCCAGCTGGCTCGACTCAGAGGAGGAGGGGAATTCCCAGGGCCCAGGGAGACAGAGAGTGGCCCTTGAGGATCTGAGTCGATGACATAGAGACAAATGAAACACACTGTGGAGTTGCTCAGATGACTGAAGGAATCAAGAACATCAGTAATCACTAGACAAGATAAGCCATTGCTTCTCATGGTCTTTAAAGAAGTGCGGAGTCTGTGGGCCGCAGAGAAGGCTGTGTGAGAAGTGCCCAGCTAGGGTGAAGCCTCAGACTGGCTGCTGGGCGTCTGAGGAGACGCCCAGCTTCTCGGGCTCAGCCGTCTCTCCTACAAGACAGTGCTGTGCACCACCCACTCACCTGCTGTTAGGAACCTGTGAAATTACAGGGAAAGTGCTTAAACAGTACCTGGCACTCAGCTCGGTGCACCTTGTAAGTGCTATAAAGTGGGCTGCGTTGTGTCTTCTCTCAATAGCATTCTCAAGCTTATTCATTTATTTCTGTGGAAATACAAAATCTATTTTTGCTGAAAAAGAAGTACAAAAAACCACAACCCAGTTGAGAGCAATCGGAATCCGAGGCTTTCCATGCCCCAGGGAAGCCCCTCAGTATTGAAAGCACTGATGATTAATTCAGTGCTGCACCCTCCTCAGCCACTTGGGGTCACTGCTCTCTGGAACACTGATAAAAGTTTGTAGACTATCTGCCTGGACACATTGGTACAGGCCTAAAAGCTCAGCATTTGGGGAGGCTGAGGCAGAAGGATTGCAGGTTCAAGTCTCACCTGGGCAACTAGGCAAGATTCTCTCTCAAAAAATAAAAAGAGAAGGAAATGGAGTTCAGACTGAAGATTCTGAATTCAGTTCCCAGTGCCACAAGAGAAGTGGGGACAGGGGGAGCTTCTAGGCTTTCTGCACTGTAAAATGTAGATAAACAATTTGTTTATCTTTCAAGGATTTTTTTTTGTGGACACTGGAAATCCATCCTTATACCACCTGTACATGATAGACCTCCCAAGTAAAAATCGTTCCATCTTGGTATCCAGTGTCCTGGTCTGTCCACAGCCCCTCTGCCCCACAAACTCCTTCCCAGCTGAGCAGTTCTTGTCTCACTGATCTATGAGACTCCTAGAAAATGTTTCTAGTTGGTTCTGCTGCTAAGTAAGCCAGGCTTAAATCCCACTAACTTCAGTGGGGGGGGGCAGATTTTAAGTTCCATTCCTTCTCTGAACTAAAGTGTCTATGAATTTGAAAATTCACAGAAAAGCTTCAAGTTTAAAAACATATTTTCTAAAATACAGAAACTTTTTTGGCCACCCTTTATCCATCTAAAAATGAAAACCCAGGCCAGGTGTAGTGGTGTATCTCTGTGATCCCAGCACACAGGAGGCTGAGGCAGGAGGGTCACTGAGAGTTCAAGGCCAGCCTGAAATATATAGCAAGACCCTGCCTAAATTTTTTTTTTGCTCCTTAAATTATTTAAACTTTGGGTTTCTCACATTGTTACAGAAAAACCAATATCAAACCAAATGGAAGACTCTTTGTACTGAGGAATCCAGAAGGCAACTGTTATTATGCTAGTGGGCTGATGGGAATCTCAGTTCCAAATCATCAGCACTGAGGCAGTTTAGGGTTCAATTTAAATACAGTTTAACAAGTAGAAAGTACAAAGCATTACATGATTGGTTACACGGATTGCACTAAGTCATATATTATCAGGAAACTAACTCTAAATACATTTGCTCATAACAGGAACATCCTGGAGAGGAGAGTCGGGGATTCAAGTGGAGCAAGCAGAATTAAAAAGTATCTTAGGCTGGATTACCTCACCCCAACCAAAGTCCTTGAAGCCACTTAAGGCAATATATTTTCCTAACTAAGGGAAACATAAACTGAGAACAGTCAAATTGGCTCAGCGCACTATCAAAAGAGAAGCAGCTGGACCCAGACAGTCAAGGTTGAGTGAATTAAGAAGAGTAGCTACATGACAAACAGCAGGAGCATGATCACAGGCCTCTACCTGATCTCTAGCTTTTACTATGAAATACCTGTAAGTTTGCTGTTCTGTAACTGTGCCTTTACTAATCATATAATTGTGCCCCAACAATGTAAGAGAAGCCATGCAATATTTAACCTGTGTTTTTATTTCACTTAGTATTATGGACTTGAAATGCATCATTTTCCTACAAATTTATCCTTTTATGCCTGAGTAGTACTCCATTGTGTATGTACACCACATTTTCTTTATCCATTCACCTGTTATTGAGCACAAAAGCTACTTCAAGACTTAGCTATTACTAGTTGTATTTCTAAGAACACATATGACAGATGTCTAACTCTTTCAAGAAGATATGCAGAAAAAGTATAGCTGCAAGCCAAGTGGACTTTCAAATTTTAATTTTTAGGAAGTCTCCACGCTGATTTCCATAGTGGTCGTCCCAGATTACTTTCCCACCCGCTGTGCAGAAGGGTTCTTTTTCTCCCACAGCCTGGCCAGCATTTGTTGTTATCTATCTGTGGTGACAGCCATTCTTCCTGGAGTAGGAGGGACTCTCAGTGTTGTTTTGATTCACATTTCTGTAATGGTCAAAGATGAACATTTCTTCATGTAATTGTGAGCCATTTGTACTTCTTCTAAAAGGTTTTTTTTTTCCACTTCAGTTGCCCATTTTTGACCCGGTCTTTTACTGAGTTCTTCATGTAGTCTACATGTTAGTCTTCTGTCTAAGGAGTAGCTGGTGGAAAACTTACCCATCCTCTCGGCTGTCTCTTCACTCTGTTGGTGTTCTTCTACTGTGCAAAAGCTTTTCACTTGATGTGACCACACTTGTTGATTATTTCCTGCGTATTTCTGCATTCTTCTCAGAAAACCCTTGCCTATGTCTATGTTGTCAGAAGTTTTACTTACTTTATCTTGCAAAAAAAATTCAATGTTTCTGTTTTTATTTCTAGGTCTTTGATCCATTTTGATTTCACTTTAGTAGAAGGGAGAGATTAGGGTGTAGATGCATTCTACATGTGGAAGCCAATCTCCCCAGCACAGTACCATTTGTAAAGCAGCTATCTTCTTTTCCACAGCATACTTTGGGCCCCTATATGAAAGATCAGATGGTTGAGTGTGCCTGGATCCTGTGTTTGGTTCCACTGACCACAGGTCTGTTTTTATGCCAGTGCCATGCTGTTTATTTCACTGTAGCTTTGTAATGTAATCTGAAATCTGGGATTGTGCATCCTGCCTTGCTTTTGTTGCTCAGGATTGCTTTTGCTATTCTGAGTTTCTTCTGATTCCAAATGAATTTCAGGGTGGTTTTCTCCTAGTGCTGTGAAGAATGCTCTTGGTGTTCTGATTGGGACTAAATTAAATCTATATACCATTTTTTTGACAATATGGTCATTTTGGCAGCATTGGTTTTGCTATCCAGGAATGAAAGATGTCTTTCCATTTCTAAAGTCTTCTTTAATCTCTTTTCATAGAGGTCTTTCACTTTGTTGGTTAGGTTAATTCTTAGACATTTAATTTTTTGAACTATTTTATGAATGGGATTGTTTTCTGTGACTTTCTCAATGAATTCATTGCATATATTCTATATTGATTTCACTGATACCTTAGTTCTAAGCATCTTTTCACAGAGCTTTGGGTCTTCTCCACAAAGGTCACATCACCTGGGGATGACCTCTTCTTTTCCTGTATGCATTCTTTTATTTATGTCCCTTGCCTGGTTGCTCTGGCTAAACCTTTGAGTACGGTGCTGAAGAGCAGGGGTGGTGAGAATGACCCTACTTGTTGCCCTCTTCCTCTTCTTTGGTGGATTATAAAATTTTCCAGGCACAGGAAAATGGTCATTAATCCTTCTGTCCCTGAATACCTTCTGAAATGCAGTCAATAATTGATGAACAGATTGACAGTGAACAGAATAAATAACAGACACCAGAAGCACACACAAAGCTGTGAGAGCCTGCTTTGATCACTGCTCAGTCTAGACCACAGGGTGGCAGGAGTTCCCAGGAGACCCCAGATCTCCATTTTGTTAGCCTTCATTATGGTCACATGTTGCACAATCATCAAACACTTGTTTTCTGGGAGCCTTTGAAATGCCTCGGGTTTATGAGAGATCAAATTCACCACCTTCCTTGCATGGCCTAATTGCAGTTCGCCAGCTCCATCGTGAGTTCCTGAGAGCCGGGTCCAATGTCATGCAGACTTTTACCTTCTATGCCAGCGAGGACAAGCTGGAGAACAGGGGCAACTACGTGGCAGAGAAGATATCTGTAAGTATGCAGCCTGGCACGCTGCGGAGCACCATGTACTCCCTTGGCCACCAGACCTCACAGAGAAAGCCTGGAGCCTCCTAGAGCTCTGTTTCCACCATTCTGGAAATGGGGACATGAAGTAGATAAATGCCACTTCTAGGGTCGGCAGAAGTCTCTAAAGTCAACAGAAAAGCATTTAACGAAGCAAGTAAATGGGGAGGCATTTCATGACCAGCCGCTCCTGTGGGCTCAAGGAGAGCGAGGAGGAAAGAGGGTCCTTGCATACTCTCCCTCGCACACTCACCTACTGCCACGCACAGCAGCAGGAAAGCCCATCAACAGAGGGATGAGGGTGCTTGGAGCAGGCCCTGCTTATGGCAGTCAGCTCTGAGTTGCTGGTAAACTGCTGACTCTGTCCAAACCCAGCCTCTGAAACACACAAGGACTTCTGCAGCTGAAGACGCATTTTTGTTTTATTTTTGGCCATGCTGGGGATCCAGTTGTACCTGACAGGCTCCACCACGGAGCTACACCCCAGGCCCAGCAGAGCTCAGGTGCATGCCAGTACTCACAGCAGGACAAGTGCTAGAGCTCAGGAGTTAGAGTCCCGCCTTGGTAGAGCAGTGAGACCCTGTTTCAAAGACACCAAAAAAAATCAACCCCATCTTGGGAGTCAAGCTTTCAAAATAGTTAGAATACACCTTACTAATTATACATTGAATCACTGAGCAAGTACATAAGAACAAAAAGACAGGGGCTGGGGATTTAGCTCAGTAGCACAAACGCTTGCCTGACAAGCACTAGGTCGTGAGTTCAATCCCCAGTACAAATAAAAGAAGAAAGAAAGAAAAGAAAAAAAAAAGTGTCATGAGTTCTATTGGCATTTTAATTGAATTGTATCTTATTAATAAAGCCAATCATCTGGCATCCACTTTGTGAATTCCCAGCTATTCCGGCTCCTGAGACAGGAAGATCATGCCTTTACCGTCAGCCTGGGCAACACAGGAGCACCCTGAGACCTTTCCGAACAAACTAACCCAGTAATCATCGTGCATCACAGTTTGCTAAGTGCTCCTCCAAGTGCACCTTGGGTGGGGGAAGATACCGGATCAGAGCTTTTCACATAAAAGCCTCTGTCGACCCTCCAGACGCTGTGTTCCAGAATGGTGGAAACAGAGCTCTATCCTAAAGTCATAGCGGTGCTTCTATGGGCTGCTCACTTGGGGAAGCACTAACCTGATCTTTACCTGTGCTTTTACAGAATAAAATCATAATTGTTAGCCTACAGCTGTGCTGCAGACACTTTCATAACAATTTTATCTTAACCCATCTTCACTCACTTTAGGGGCAAAAAGTCAACGAAGCTGCTTGCGACATTGCCCGGCAGGTGGCTGAGGAGGGGGACGCGCTGGTTGCAGGGGGCGTGAGTCAGACGCCTTCCTACCTCAGCTGCAAGAGTGAAAGTGAGGTGAAGAAAATCTTCCAGCAGCAGTTAGAGGTCTTTATGAAAAAGAACGTGGACTTCCTCATCGCAGAGGTAAACTGAGCGATGGGCAGCGACAGGACGCTTGCGTCCCCAGGCTTTGCCCATGATCTCCACGTGGGGCAGGCGCCAATCACAACATTTACCGGTTACAGCCTTTCCAGTGTGAGGCTTCTGCTAAGTGGGACGCGGTTAATCCGCGCGTGGTTTTCAAGCCTGTGGGCTGCAGCGCAAACTGAGCAGCCGGCCCTCCCCCTGCGCAGTGCGACGCTGCCAGGAGAGGGCGCGTTCTCGGGGTTTTGTGGGACACGCCTTTGAAGTCTCTCGCCCTAACCGATTGCAGTATTTTGAACACGTCGAGGAAGCCGTGTGGGCAGTGGAGGCCTTGAAAGCGTCGGGGAAACCCGTGGCGGCGACCATGTGCATCGGGCCCGAGGGCGACCTGCACGGCGTGTCCCCCGGCGAGTGTGCTGTGCGCCTCGTGCGAGCAGGTGACTGCGCGTTTCAATCACTTCGCAATGAGTCTCTTAAAATAAGACACAAGTGTGAGCCTCCCAAAACCATCAGTGTGTAATTCTTTGCTGACAGGGAACCCCTAAGTTACTGGAGGTAACTGGTACTATGGGGACTGAGTCTCAAGAGGGGAAAGTGTGAAGGCACACATGCACAAACCGCATGCACCCCAGCCTCTTCAAAGGGGCAATTACACCGGTGCTGGAGACTGACACCTAGAAATGAGAAGAGTGAATGTTTTGCTAAGTCAGAAGAAACATTAGGATGTTTGTTTGTTTGAGACTAGCTCTCTGTTTAGCACAGTTGACCTTGAACTCATGGAGATCCTCCTGCCTCAGCCCCCTGAATGCTGCAATTACAGGTGTGTGCCACCACAGCCAGCAGGAATCACTGTTTCTAAAACTTGTCTCAAGTAGAGGTCTTCAAACATTCATAACTTTAGGTTAGTTGGTCTATTTGCCAAAGTTTTTCCATTCTTATAAATTATGAGTGTGCTTTGTTTTTTTGTAAGTGGTATAATAGATCAAACACTCTTTGCTATAAAATGCTGAGCACCACATATATCTTTTTATACAATTAGAGTTAGGAGAAGCTTACAGATTGTTTTCAAAATCTCATTTTAAACCCCAGAAATAATTCAGTGTCAGGGGAAGAGCCCAGCCCACTGTAAGAAACAGAAATTTTGCTGACAGTTCATTTAATTTCTGTTTCTTATCCAACTCCTAGTTTTTCATGAAAATCTCTTTCATACTTGTCATTAACAGTAACAAATAAATTTAGATTTAGAAGTGAAAGTATAGAACCCTGTTCTTTAACAGGAAATATAAAAGTAGGGGTAGCAGGGGACAGAGTTTTCAAAAGCACCAGAGGAGGGCTTGACCATCCCCAGAGGCCAGGAGTGGGGCTGTCTGGCCAGCATCCAAGCCCACTCCTCCCCTCAGCTCAGAGTGGGGAGTAGGTGCACACCTGTCTCTTTGGTGTTGTTGCTCTTCTTGCTTTTTGTTGTTGTGTTTGTGGTACTGAGGGGTTGCACCCAGAGCCTTGCTCATGCTAGGCAAGTGCTCTATCACTGAGCAGCTCTTTTCTAAATTTTATTTTAAGACAGGGCCTTGCTAAATTGCCTAGGCTGGTCTTGAGCTTTGAAGTTTCTGCCTCAGCCTCCTAAGTAGCTGAGAGTACAAACATGTGCCACTACGCCTGGCTCAGCCACCATATTTTTATATCACTTCACACTATGTATAGCCTACATAGCACTGGTTGCTTGTTTACCTGTTCAGTGTGAGGCCCTGATAAAGGCAAAGACTGTTTCCATTTGGCTCAGCACTGAGTACTCTGTGCCTACTGTAATTCCTACTACAAAACAGATCCTTAATCAGTATCCACTGACTAAACCCAGTCCACCTTTCAATGCTTAGTTTCGTTCAGTGCCCACTTCCATGTGATCATGCCTACCTAACTGACCACTCCTTTCTGTCAGAAACTAGGACACTTTTGTCATTCATTTGGAATATCCTCGGCTGCACGAATCAGAACGTTTGATATATTTCTATATACTGCTAGTCCTTAGGAGGCAGGCATAGTGGACAGCACCTGACTTACTAATCACAGCCTCTCTTATTTCTGATATGGATTCATAAACAACAATATAGGAATCCAAGCAGCCAAACTGATAAATTTAGAATTTAATTAACTGAGCTCAGGACCACTTGTATACAGACCCCTCCTGGTTTAGGGCCCAAACAAGTGGCCCTGAACTGGAAAGCTACAGAGTTTTTAAAAGAGAGAATCACACACAAAAAAAAATCCTGCTGGAAACAATTTAGTTTGAATCTTTTGTTAATTTTCAGTTGACCCCTGTATCTTGCTTCTTTTGTTGAGCATCCGAGAGAAGTCCTTATGCAGGCAGAAACAACCCAAGAGTGTTTCAGCAGATGAATGGATAGACGAAATGTGGCAAATCTGTGCCATGGGGTAGTTTTCAGCCACAAAAAGGGATGTAACTCTGATATATGCTCTAACAGCGATGAACAAACAGGAAACATGGTACTCACTGAAATAAGCCAGTCATGGTTGAACAAAAACATGTAAAAAAATTTTAAAAACATGACTTTACTCGTCTAAAGCATCCAGAAAGGACAAGCTCACAGAGACAGAAGTAGATTAGCATCACCCAGAGCAGAAGGACGAGGGAGAAATTAGGAGTTTTTGCTTAATAGGTATAGAGTTTTTCTCTGGGGCGGAAAACCTGTGTAAATAATGGTGATGGCCAGGCAAGGTGGCACACACTTATAATACCAGCACTTATGAGGCTGAGGCAGGAAGATTGCAAATTTAAGACGAGCCTAGACTACATATGAGTTCAAGGCCAACCTGAACTACACAGTGAGACCTTGCTTCTAAACAACCAAACCAATAGTAATGATTGCACAGTGTTTTGAGTGCAGCAACACAGAACTGTGCATTTGAAATGATTAGAAAGGCCAGTTTCATGATTATATATTTACCAAAATCATAAAAAAACAAAAAGTGGAAAGCAAAGTGGGAGTTAGAAATCTCTCTCATTTTGAGAGCAGGTTGTCTCCATGAATCCTGTAGAGGAGGAGACTCCTGAGGTCATGTCTGACCGTGTCATGGTCAGTGGGTCAGTGGTCTTTGGCCCAGAAGCAGTGAAGAATGTAACAACTGTCAGGGAAGTCTTGGAAAGCATGAGGCATCTAAAGCATATTCTGTTCTCACTGAATCAAACTTCCCCAGCAAGACATTTTAGAAGGAAGCTTGAAGAGCATAAGCCATGTAGTTTTGAGTCAGGAGACTAAAATGTGAGTCAAAGGCTGCTGACCGTGTAGATCAGCTCAAGTCAAAGGAGGTGTTTGTTTGTTTTTCTCCAAACCACTAAACCTAGACACAAAACTTTCTGAAAAACAGATTTCTGAAAAGCTTTTATTCTGAATTACTTCCTGCTACTTTTCCTAAGAAGTCTGGTGAAATTGTGAGACAGGTATGATAAGAGGGAATGTTTATTGATGCCTCAAATGAGTAGCACTATGGTAAACACAGGTGCAGTGTAGCAGCCGGGAGAGTTGGAAATTATTGTGCTTGCCAACAAATGTCAAGGGTTGAAAAACTGACTACTAAATTTTGAAGTAAAAAAAAAAAAAACTCTAATAACAATATTTTGGAGAATAAAAAGATGACAGCCCAGTGTGCATAAATGACACTTCAATTACACCAGACTCCTCGAACATTTTCACTTCTGCCCTTGGTCATCACTTTTGCTCACAGCTGGGCTTGGCTGCGGGAATTGCGGTCCCAGGCAGCACTAACATCCATCACTCTGGCTTCCTGAGGAGGCCAGAGCAGGGCGGCTCTCACCTGTCCTCTGCTTGCAGGTGCCTCCATCGTGGGGGTGAACTGCCATTTCGACCCCACAACCAGCCTGCAGACGGTGAAGCTCATGAAGCAGGGCCTGACAGCTGCTAGGCTCAAGGCCCACCTGATGTGCCAGCCCCTGGCCTACCACACACCTGACTGTGGCAAGCAGGGCTTTATCGATCTCCCGGAATTCCCCTTTGGTAAGACTGACACTTTTATAAATCATCTTACTATGCTTGATAAATTTCAGAAAAGTGCAGCCAAAGAGCTTTTGTCATAATGAAGCAGTGGCTACAAAGTGCTCATCTGTCCTGCAGCCCAAACTCCCTTGATATTAGACAGCAGATGGGGTGGGGGCTATGAGCTTCCCTGTGAACTCTGAGGTGACAACCAATCAGTCACACTTTTAGGCTGCCAAAGAGCCCCTCAGTGGTCTGTTCCTGCTGTTTTGTGGCCTTAGGGGAAAATCCTTCAGTTCCTCTAGATCATCATTTCTCATCGGGAAAACCCAGAGGTTAAACCAGTTCTCTCCAGAGTGCATTTTTCTCTGAGAATATTGCTGTAACAGAGGTGAAGGGTGGGGGGGGGGGTTTACTGGAGTGCTGCCAGAGCCTCTCCACATCCTGGAGTGTGAAGTGTCTTGTTTTTCTCATTGCTGAGACAAAATACTCGACACTCAAAGTTAAAGGGAGAAAAGTTTATTTGTTCCACAGTGTATAGAGGTATCAGTCCACCACTGGCTGCTCCAAGGCATGGTAGCCTGGCAGAAGGGCATTGCAGGGGAGAAAAGTTCATGGCAGGCAGAAGGCAGAAGTTGCCAGCAGCAAGTCTATGTGACAATAGTAGCTTTTATACTCTGTCTATGATTCCAAGCTCAGGGCAGTGCCAAACCAAGCAGTGGGCTGATTTAGTAATCATCCACCCAGTAACCATCCCAGCATCACACACTCTAGCCCCCACTGCAAAGCCTGTAAGTGCACGAGGCTTTGGAGAACCATCTAAACACAAGCCATAACATGGGGTGAGCCCACTCTGAAAATCAAGCAAGAGAGGACACGGGGCACAGCCCATCCGCTTCCCTCACACTATGAGGTCCTTATCCTAAACCCTGTACCCTATAGTGATGCTCAAAGATATTATAAAGCATCACAAAATAAAGATCTGAGAGGAACACAAAGGAGGGCTGGTGTGACATTTGGGTTAGTTTTGCTACCCATGTATTATCTCCTGGTGTTGGGGGTCAGAATGCAGGCATAGTGGAGCTGGGCAGGTCTCCTTCAGAGGCTCTCACGGGGCTATAGCCCAGAGCCTGACCAGAGCCTGTGGGCAGTGGAGGGTCTACATGCATGCAAGTGCAGGTGCTCACCATCTGTGGATAGTGACCCCTACTCCTCAGCTCCTGGGCCTCCACCATGACACTGGGGTATTTCTTCAGCACAGTGGCTGGCTCCCCAGGGCTAGAGCTCTTAGCAAAACCAGGCAGAAGCCAAGATGTTCTCTGTAATCCCGCCCCTGGGCCATATAGTGTCCCCCAACCACGCACTGCCAGTCTCGTGGGTCACTGCAGTACAGCAACAGGGTAAAGCTGGCTGGGGTCATTGGGATGTGACACTGCATGTGTCAATCCAGAATCCCCAGTGGTTTAAAATCTAAGAAAAGAGTATCTACAGCCTATTTAGTTAATTGAAAATTTTATAAGATGGCAATATGTAATCCATTAACTAGTGATTTCCTACTGTTCATTTTTTTCTTCTGTAAATCTGTATAACTTGTACCCTTTCACTTTTTTTTTTCTTTTCTCCTTAAATAAAAAAAAAAAGAAAATTTTATTACAGCTATTTACATAATGATATTTATCACAGGACTGGAGCCCAGAGTTGCCACCCGATGGGATATTCAGAAATACGCCAGGGAGGCCTATGAGCTGGGTGTCCGCTACATCGGCGGGTGCTGTGGGTTCGAGCCCTACCACATCAGGGCAATTGCAGAGGAGCTGGCCCCGGAAAGGGGATTTTTGCCGCCTGCTTCTGAAAAGCACGGGGGCTGGGGAAGTGGTTTGGATATGCATACCAAACCTTGGATCAGAGCGAGGTAAGCACCATTTGCCAGCGCAAACTGGTCTAGATCTGAATATTGAATATCTGCTGAAAGAGGGCAGCTTATTTATTTTGTGATGATTAAATTCTCTACCAGAGATAATTATAGAACAGCCTTATGAGCTTATTTGTGGAAAGGGCTCTAAGAATATAGAATATGAACAAGGTGAGTGGCAATGAAAATCACAAAGGCTGAATCATGGATTAATAAGAGTCAAATTCAACTAAACACAGCAATACTGAATATTCTGTGTCAAGATTTGCAGCAGTGGGAATGTAGTAGTAAAAAAAGATAGTTTTTGCCCTCAGAGCCTCCATTCCAATGGTAAAGATGAATAATAAGCAAGAAAACAAATTTTGTATCAAGTAGGCGCAGGACACAAGGAATGTCACAGAAATGGAAATCTGTGGTCTCTGGCTTGGAAACTCTCATAGACTGTGGGGGAAATGGATAGGAAACCCATTATTTTACACTGCAGTAACTTGTGGTAGAGGAATGGGCAACAAAGTGACAAAGAGAAGAGGAGGACCAACTTTGCCTAATAGAAAGATATTCCAGCTGGGAGTGATGGCTCACGCCTATAATCTCAGCACTCAGGAGGCTGAGGCAGGAGGATTATTGCAAATTTGCGACCAGCCTGGGCTACAAAGTATGCTCAAGGCCAACCTGAACTGCAGGGTAAGACCAACTGCAGAGTAAGATCAAAAAGACGAAAAGGAAAGAAAGGAAGGAAGGAAGGAAGGAAGGAAGGAAGGAAGGAAGGAAGAAAGAAAGAAAGAAAGAAAGAAAGAGAAGAAAAAGAAGAAAGAGAAATATTGCAGAAAGGTATTTTGCCCTGGGTTTTGAAGTAGAGAAGGAATACTGGAGAGTGGCCCAGCAAGCAGAGGGCAGAGGGGAGCCACTCCTCACTGCTGAGCAGACACTCACTGACACAACTCTGCCAGACACTGCTGTGACACCAGGATGGCAGCTGGACAGGCAGGCACAGCCCCAGCCGAGGGTTGGCAGCAGACAGGCATGGGCTGCTCTGCAATGCAGCCATGGGCTCTAGGCTAAGGCTGCAGAAGCAGAGGGCAGAGGGGCCTATGAAGGCTGAGCCTGAGACTGCCTGGCTGAATTCTGAATGATGAATGATGTCCCCAGACACAGGAAGAGCTTGCAGGAAACCCTGGGGGTGGGAAGAAAGTCATGCACTACAAATCATGAATCTGAGCTGGGTGGAGAGGGAGCTGGAGGAAGACAGTGTCCCGCAGGTAGAGAGGTGCCAGTGTGAGGGTAGACCTATGAGTTAGAGAAGTTCTCCCAGGTATGAGGTGGCCTCAAGCCAGAAGGAGACAAGGGAAAGAGGAGATGGTAAGAAGCAGATTCCACAGAGGGAGACGTGTAGAAGCCATGTGGCTCCAGCCCTTGAGGCACGGGGCCAAAATGCAAGGCTGGACAAGTCATGTACACCAGACAGAAAATATCCCCACTCTAAATTCTAAGCTTTCAGTACCTGTGCATATGTTAAAAAGAGTAAATCTGAGGCAATTTTAGACCCCTCGGTTCAAGGGATAAAAGGATCTCTGCCTGCTTTAATGGGCACATGCTCGGAGTCCAAAGGCGGCCCAGGGTATGTTTTTAACTCAGTGTCAGAGCAGATATGCAGGGATGGAGCTGATGCTTTGTGCTTTGATCCCACAGGGCCAGGAAAGAATATTGGCAGAGTCTCCGGATAGCCTCAGGCAGGCCCTACAACCCTGCGCTGTCCAAGCCTGATGCCTGGGGGGTGACCAAAGGGACCACCGAGCTGATGCAGCAGAAGGAAGCCACCACTGAGCAGCAGCTGAGAGAGCTCTTCGAAAAACAGAAGTTCAGATCCATACAGTAGCCACACTATTTCTTCTAAATTCCTATATGTTTGGGCCTCCATGTGTACAAATAAGGAAAATGTGGTTCAAAGCAATGCTCACATTAGTGCCAGCCTACATGAATACTGGGTATTAACTGAACAGAAGAGAATCAGAAATAGCAGTTGGCAGTTAGAAGTTTATTTAGAAGCAATAAAAGTACAAAGTAAATTGGAGACAGGTTCCCTAAACACCTGTCATGTGTAAAGTACTATAGAAATCATTGTAGCAAAGGAAAAGTAATCCAGACATTAATCCCACTTCCTGAAGTTGGCAGGCTGGGAGGGAGGATGAGACACGCACTGTCATGGTGACATAGCCAGCCAGAGACAGAAGAGTGCTATGGAAAGTGGCTTCCGACCACTTCTGAACACAACTGCTAGTAAGGAACACAATCTATACAATGGTCCAGTAAAACATGTGACATACAACCACTGAAATAAATGTGTGATTCATTTGGGTATTTTTTATTTGTTTTACTTCCACCCTATTTAGAAAAACATACAGGTTGAAAGCCTCCCAAGTTGATGTGATGATCCATTTGTGGTGTCTGACCCACATTTAGAAAAACATTGCCATGAGACACTTCATACACAGGGACTAAGTTTACTCTTGAAAAAAAGCCATAAGCAGCTAGTTATTGGGTATCCAAAGCCTAGCAGCCTGCCGGAGAGTTCCAGTGTTCTATTTCCTGGCTCAATTCTGTACATAGACACATGCAGATCGACGGGGACGTTGGGGGAGGAATGGGTATATGTGTCCTTGTCATCCTGTTTAGAGCTGGACCCAACTAAATGCCCCAGCCAGTCAGGCTGAGGAGTCAGAGCCTGTATTACATTGGTAGCTTAAAAAAATATATGTCTGTAGTCAGGCATGATGGTGCACACATTAATTCCAGCACTCTTGGAGGCTGAAACAAATCACAAGTTTGAGCCCAGCATGGGCAATGTAGCAAGACACTGTCCAAAGTGAAAAATAAAGGTCTGGAGACATAGTTCACTGTGAAGTTCTTGGTTCAATGTCAAGTCACACACATGCATGCACACATACAATCTGCAATGCAAAACAAACATTCTCCAAGTGCCAGCCAGGATGGCTAGGGAGAGAAGGATGCTTCACCTGATGACCTAATATCCCCTCTCCTCCAAGGAGCAGTGCTACACACCGCCCTCCACGGAAGGGGAAGAGTTCACACCGCTCTTGGACTGGCTGAGTTGTTTTTGAAATTTTCCTTTTTCTTTTAATAACAAAAAAAATCAATCGAATTATCTGGGTTTTGTTTTTGTTTTAATTCCACAGTCTACTAAGTTCTGTATGAAATCTTTATGCCTCCATTTTCCCTTTTATTAAAAAATAACAATACTATACACTCACCTCACAGGCATGCTTGAATTCCGGAGGTGCTAGCAGGATTTAAAGGGAAGAGAAATGTCCACAGTTCTCTCGCTGAGAGTTTATAATCCACCCCTCCCCAGAACACAAAGAGCCAACACATGCTCTTTTCACAGCTGTTGTGAGTAGGAACTCCATGTGTTTCTATCTTCCTCACACCAATTTCAATATTTAGTCCTTGGCTTCACAGATGATAGCAGCTTTTTTTGGATTTGCAGTCCTCTTACCGTGTGAAATGCGTGTCGCTTTAATATTCTTGTCGGAGAGCCATCACACATTTTTACACCCTCTATCGCTTTCCTCCTTTGTCCTTGTAAGCCCTTCATCAGAGGGCCAGAGTGCCCTGCACTCCACGTCACATCCTGTTGGCAGATTTCACGCCGCTTCCCACTTTGGACCTCTTGCTAGTTTCTACTCAACTCCTAAGAGTTCATTTTTGGTAAGGTGTTTTATAGACTCAGAGTCCACGGAATTTAGAAATAAGAAATGCAAACTCTGGCTTGAGGCAGGAAGCCCTGCGCCTCACCAGCTGCAGGTCAGGAAACGAAGATCTACAGCCTCACTCAGGACCAGCACATACTCGCCGAATGAGCTGCGTGCAGTTCGTGGCCAGACACTTCCTCACCTTGCAGCCAAACGACCCTGCAAGAGACCTGAGCCGCTGCACCCTTGCAGCCCAGAGGACGCGCGACCCGCACACCGAAGGCTGCAGTTCCCAGAGTCTCCAGCAGGGACGTCCGAGGCTCCGTTCGCCTAGAATTTGAGGAGTCCGCAAAGCAGCTCGTAAGGCACGCCCTCGCGAGCCCGCCCTGGATCAGGTGGGTGGGTGGTTTTCTGGTCTCACTTTGTGAATTTTTAAAATCCAACCCAAGATAATTCATCACCAGGGAAAGCCGTCTATGACTCCCCAAGAGGCCTGTGCTGGGATGATTGTACATGCTGTATTCCCAAATAACCCGTCCATTAAGCTAGAATCCCTCAGCCAGTCTGCAACCTCCTACGTGTTGCTCGCTGGCTGGATGAGCCTTGAGTCTGACAGCGAAGGAAGAATGGCCAGCATTTTAAGCCATAACGCAAGAGAAAATAAGGCCAAGGGTGTCTGAATGCCTTCCTAATAAATAGTATATGAACCAATGAGACTGAGAAGCCAGGTATGGTGGCACAGGTTTATAATCCCGGCACCCTAGGAGGCTGAGGCAGGAGGATCAAAAACTCAAGTCTAGCCTGGGCCACGCAGCACCTTAGCAAGACCCTGTCTCAAAATTTTAATAAACAAGGGTGGTGTGGGTGGGATGTGAAGGTCCTGGATTCAAACCCCAGTTAAAAACCGGCCTGGGATACAGCTCAGTGACACAGCACCTGCCTGGCAAGTACAAGGTCCTGAGTCGATTTCAGGTACCCCCCCCCCCAAAAAAAAAGACAACTGACGATAGCCAAATGCAGAGACTTCTGAGACTGGTAACAGGAATGCAGCTCACTGGGGAGGCCTGAGAGCTCTGAAGGAGAGGAGTCCCTCAATAACACTGCCGGATTTCGAGAGCTGGGGGGCTCTTTTGTCCCCAAAAGATGGAAGAGGAAGCGCTGGAAAATGAGAGGGACAAATGCCCACCCCTCACACTGCGGTGAGCTACGGAAATGATGCCAATCAAGTTGAGTAGAGAAAAATTGCAAAATTAAAACACGGAGAGAGAGCTCAACAAATGCTAGCCTGAATTCTTAGGTTGTAAGCCAGGGGATTTACCCGACTCTGAGAAGGCTTAAGCTTTAGGGCATCAGGCTATTAAAACAAGTGTGGCTGATCAGAGTTTGAGGAGTCTGTTCTCCTGGATATTTTTCAGTTGATGTTGTTCTGACATTGTGCTTTTTCGGCTAGTAAAAAAGAGCAGTGAGATTATCTTGGTTGTGTCTGATTCTCACTTTAGTTTTATAATTCGCTATTAAATTTGGTTGATTTAAATCTGGGCTGCCTAGTGAATTCAAAGTCATCTTGGATTATGTAGTGGATCTTGTCTAAAAAATTTCATGATGGGGCCTGGGGATTTAACTCAGCGGCATAAGCACCTGCTTTGCACGCAGGCAGTCATGAGTTTGATCCCTGGTACCAATAAAAAAATAAAAATAAAAAATTTCATGAAACTAAACCCATGATAATTTAAATATATGACTTGAATAGTGTTTACTTTCAAATTTGTGACTTTCTTGCATATGTTTTTTACACAAAAAAGTGTTTTTTATCTGGGTATGCCGGAATCCAACTAGTGCCATTTGCCAAAGAGACTGTGTTTCCTCCAGCATGCTTTTTGGGCCCTTTGTCAAACATCAGATGGCTGAAGGCATCTGGCCCTGTTTCTACATTTTCTATTCTCCTTCACTCACTCACAAATCTGTTGTAGTGCCACTTCCATGCTGTTTTATCACTGTAGCTTTGTGATCTCACTTGAAATCTGGAACTGTGAGGTCTCTTGCTTGGTACCCAGGATTGCTTTTTCTATGCTGGGTCTCTTCTGATTCCACATTACTTTGAGGATTGTTTTCTCTACTTCTGCGAGGAATTCTGTTGGTATTTTGAGATTGCATGAAATGGTTGGAACTGTGGCCATTTTGAATATAGCACTCCTGCCTATCCAAGAACAGGGGATCTCTTTCTGCTTTCTGATGGCCTCTTTGATATCTTTTTTTAGAGTACTATACTTGTTACTGTAGAGGGCTTTCATTTCCTTGGTTAGGTTAATTCCTAAGTAGTTAATTTTTATTTATGCTATTGTGAATATTACCATACTGTTTTCCCAATTTCTCAATTGGTTCATTACTGATGTACAGGAACACTACTGATTTTGGTATCCTGCCATATTTTGACTTTGGTTATTAATCCTAGCTCTTGATGGAACTTTTCATTTGTTTTGCTCCATTTAATATGACAATGCCTTGTTGTATGTGGCTTTTATCGGATTGAGATAATCTTCATTACCTATTTTCTTCAGCATTTTTAATATGAATGGTGGATTTTTGTCAAAAGGTTTTTCTGCATCTATTGAGCTGATCCTGTGTTCTTGTCCTGGTTTCTCTATATATGATGTAGTACATTCATGACTCTCCATAGGTCAAACCATCCTTGCATCCCTGGGATGAAAACTTCTTGATCAGGGTTTGTGATCATGATAATTGTGCATCACATCGCCTGTATCTTTCAGAGGAATTTTGCATCTATATTCCTTAAAGATATTGGCCTGTAGTTTTTTGCTATTGCTGTGTCAAGGTTTTGTTTGTTTTGCTTTGCAATCAGAATAATTCTAGGAATTCTTTATTTTGCTGTCAGAGTAATCGAGGAATGAGTTTAGAAGTAGTCCTTCCCTTACCATTTTGGAGAGTGTGAGGAGGAGCAGTATTATATCCTCCCCAAAAGTCTTGTAAATCAGCAGTGAAATCCATCAAATCCTAGGATTTTCTTAATTGTTAGGATTTTTATTTATTATTTTTTGTTGTTAGGTTTTTAATTACTGCCTCAACTTCATAATCTGTTATTGGCTATTCACTGTCCTTCTGTAGAGGAACCTCACTTCAGAAACTTATTTCTATCCAAGATTCAGGTCTCGAACACAATTGGGCAAGAACCAAAGAGAATTTCCTCCATAGGCTCCACATTGAACCTCACCACTGAATTTGATTTAGTTCTCATCCAATTCTGTTTGACACCAAGAATTAAATTCATGAACCAAGGGATCACTGCATCTTCCTGGCTAAGTCTTAATATTCATATATGTCTAGAAATCTGTCCATTTTTTCAACACTCTCCAATTTGTTGCAGTACAAATTTTCATAGTCGTTAATGACCTGAATTTCAGTAGTGTTCTTTGCCATTCTCATTTCTAATTACATTAGATCCCCCCCCCCAATTCTGGATAAGATTGACTAAGGATTTGTCTACTTTATTCTTTTAAAAAAACAAGCTCTTTGATTTGTTTGTATGTTTTAGTTAATTCCTATTATTTGTATATTTTGTTAATTCCTACTATAATTTTCTTCATAGTGCTAAATTTGGACTTGCATGGTTCCTGTGTTTCTAGTTTCTATAGGTTACTTTTATTATTATTTACCTCACTTTTTGTAATGCGAGCATTCACAATAAACTCTGTTCTCACTGGTTTCATTGTGTTCCTTTAGACCCTGGTACATTGTATTGGCATTATCCTTTGATTCCAGGAATTGTCTAATTTCCTCTGTGACTCAGGAATGAGTTATTTAATGTCCAGATATTTCTAAAATTGCTGGGGGTGAAATTTGTGCAAGACTGCTTGCTTAGCAAGGTGACACCCTAGGTTCAATTTCCAGTAGCATAAAAAAATAACAAAAAAAAATTTCTCAAGCTCCTGGTTTCTTCTGCTAAGCTAGCTTATGGAAAACGTGGTATAAGGCATGGTGGGGAGGAACTACTCTTGTCCACAGGGAGTATATAATCCCGGGTGTGATGGGGAGATCTCACTTGGTGAGCGAGACACAGAAATCTCTATTGAGTAAAAATCCACCGAAATCCTACCAAAGAAGGATCTAGTTCCAGTAGGGGTGCTCCCCAGAGGATGGACCCCAGCTGTTGAGAGGTTTGGCAGTGAGATGGCCCCAAAGAAGAGCAGTATCTCAGGTGGCAAGAGCAAGGCACAGGAGTCTATGGGGAAGTGGCTGCAGGAGCCAGCACTAGGGGTTCTGGGGGGATCATGGGCAGTAGACCACATCTGGTGCAGGAGGAGGGCCATGCTGTGACAAGGATACCCCAAAGAAGGCCATCTACTCCAGCCAGAGACACGGTCCATGAAGCATTCAGGTCAGCCACAGGGAACAGCTGTGGCAGGAGCAGAGTCACAGTTACAAGTAGCTGGTTGGTCCAAATGTAAGTGGTAAGGGTAAAATGAAAGCACACAAGAGAGGCCAGATAGGTTGCAGGGGGAAGCAAAACTATTTGCATCTGGATCACAAGAGGGCAGAGGACAGGAAGCCATCCCAGAGGGCAGGAAGGAAGGACAGGAGGAGGGCACAGTGTGGGCCAGGTGACTTCCCTGTATATGCTTTTAAGGATGGCTCACCCTGCAGGTCAGCTGCTCACCAAGTGTCACAGTGGGGGATGTGCCTGCTCATTGGCATGACAACTGCACACTGCAGGGATGATCAAATGAAGATCATTTTCTACTAATTCATTCCTGTTGCATTTGATAGAACAATAGGTCATGACGGTTTGGATATTAACAAAAAGAGAGCTGGACCTCCCTGCACCTGGTTTGAGAGGCACAACCCTAACAGGGATGTGGTCTGGAGCTCAGGGATGGGCAGGCAGAGCAGGTATCAGGACCAAGGACCCGAATTGTGGCTAGGACAGGGCAGATGCTGGGCATCACAGGCTTGAATCACAGGCCAGCACAGACCAAGTTCTAGAAAGAAGGACCAGACAAGAGAAGTAGGGTAGGAGATGCTCTGACCCACCAGAAGCTCACTGCCCACATGCAGCCTGGAGGGACATCCCTGACAAGCTCATTCTGATGGTTTACAGAAACTTATGCAAGAATTTCTCCAGACTATGTGGAGGTACTGTGACACAATGCCCCATGCTGCCTAACATGATCCTCCCATGCCTGATGCCAGTGATAGGTACTCCTGTGGCCCAGAGGAGAAAAGCATTCATGTGAACTGGGGTCCAATGGCTGCGGCAGGTCAGCGGTCTCCACTTGGTCAGAGCTGCACTTCTCAGTGATTCAAACCTCTGAGCCAGGAACAGGTTAGAGCAGAAGAAAAACACTGTGACGACAGAGCTGAGCCCACCTGAATCAGGCCGGAGATCAGCTGGGGAGGGAGGGGAGAGGGCTGGAAGAGTCAGGTCCTCTCTCTCAGGTCACATCCCCAGGCAAAGCCCTGGCCCCCACCATCCAGGTGGCAGAGCATAGCAGATGAGGACACAGGTAAACACATGGATCCAGATGGGGGACTGGCTTCCGGGGCTCAGGGTCTGGGAGGACTGGCTTCAGAGGCTGCCAGGGGCTCTGCTTTCTTAGTCTCTGCAGAAAACAGGTGGAACTCCTGCTCCACTGTGGTGTGCCAGGCGCCTGCCATTTCCCGAATCCACTGTAGGCAAACAGAAGTTAGCGCCTCTAGAGAGCACAGGAGGAGGTAATTGTTTAAATCATAAAAGGAACATACACCCATGGGCTGCAACTGGAAACTGAGTGAGGTGTGAGGAAAAAAGAAAGTGCCCTCCTAACCCCGCATCCCAGGGGCAGCCCTGTAGTGTCTGGAGTGTTTCCTCCTGGCTTTGTTTGCAGACTGGGTCCTTCTCATTCCAGTTTTCAGTGCTGGGCAGTGCAGGGCAGGGCAAGATGGACCGGTGCCTGGGATGGTCCCCATGCCCCTGAACAATCTCTGCCAATCCTGATAACTGCCTGTGGATGAGGAGGGCCTATCAGTTGGTAAGGGCAGAGCTGGGGCTCTGGATCTAGACACCCCCTTTTTCTTCATGCTCCATGATCCCTGTACAACAACTCCACACTACGAAACACATTCAGTGATCCAGGGAGGCAAGGGGAGCCTGCAGCTCCTCGGCCCTAGCTGCTCCCAGAGCCCAGCTGCACAGCCAGGCCCCCTTCTGTGTGGAGGCAGTAGGATGCCCAGCTACAGTACAGGGGTGGCGTACACGACACACAGGTGCTGGTGAGAGGGAGGGGGTGCTGGCTTATACTTGGGGAGCAATCTGTAGGTTTTCCCTGGGGAAGGCCAGGAAGGAGCACCCACTGTCTGGACCAATGTGAGTGCAAATCCTTCTGTGGGCCCAACAATGCCAGCAGTGAATGGCCTCGAGGGACCAGCTATGACACAGGCTTTACACGTGCTCTGACTGCACATGGAGAGGGCCAGGGGCCACAGGGGACTAGGGGACACCCCAGAGTCCAGGGCTGAGAACAGCTTGGAATCCTGAGAAGTGGCTCACTGGGGGAAGTATGATAAAGGATTCAAAGATAGCCATAGAGAGTTTGTTCTGAGAAGACAGAAGGATGACAATGGCCTTGACAAAAATGGGGGTGGGTAGCTGGGGTGGTGGCACCTGGAGCCGAGGGTGGTCTGCTTCGGGAGGGTGCTGGTCAGCTAAGCACAGGAGCTTGGGGCAGGGACCAGAAGAAAGTACCTGGGCCAGGACGTGAGGGCTGGGATAGGTGATGGTGGGGGCAAAACTGCACTGACAGACAAGAGGGGCCTGGGAACACCTGTGCTACTCCGAGGAATGAGAGGGTGACAAAAATGACAAAGATCAGGAGACCTTGGGAGGAACCATACAGGCCCCAGATGGGTGCTTTCAGGACCTGAAGCTCTGCAAGGCTTGTGAGCCTAATTCTCCTCCCACCTCCCGGGCTCTGTTGGGTGAGGTCTGTTAGCTGCTCCACCCTCCCTGCTTCACCCCCACCCTCCTCCAGCCCTGAGGACAGACAGGGTCAGAAGTTCAAGGGCACTCAGAGCCCCAGGGACAATGTGGGAGGTGGCAGCTGTGCTCACCCTGTCCTGTGAGATGGGCTGCAGCTGTCTCCAGACGCCTTGGTTCCTCCTAATTCTCTCCCCTCTCCTCCTCCCAGGTGAAATGCAAAGAGCTGTGGAAGGAGTTTTATGCCATTTTGAGGAAGTTTTATCCGCGCTCATCTCTGAGTGCGCTGTTTCAGGTTTGGTTGGTCTTTCTTAAACTTTTTTAGAGACACCTCCACCCCGGCTTTGAGAAAGCAAACCAGTGCTCCTCCAGCATGAGTTTTCCTAAATGTGGTAGCCCCTTCATATCTGTGGGTTCAAAATATGTGGGTACAACTAATCAGACCACACATAGTTGGGAAAAAGACTGTGCCTGTAGCTTTTACATTGTATCAAGTGTTACTGTGCAGGGGAGGGAGGGGGAAATTGAGCCCATAGTATCCAGGGACTCAGAAGACAAAAAGGAAACTATTTTTTACTCCTGTGCCCCAGCAGACCCAGAGGACTAATCTCCAAAGTCTTGGCCCCAATTATAAACTGTCTGTCTCTTTTGCAGGGCAGCAGATGGGAATCATAGAAGCTAACAGAAGCAGAATTGATAGGTTTTGACACACAGACCTTGTGGTGAGCACAGCTCCATGTCACATCCTAGCTGTCTCTGAAACATTCAGAGAAATATCCGTTTGGAAAAGATCCTTTGGTTTGGCCAGTTGGGGAACAGAATGGCTGTCACTGCTGATAACAACCCACAGCACAACAGAAAGGCCTGGGGCACAGACCTCAAGATCACACTGCCAAGATCCATCCAGATATACCCGCAAGTGTGCCCTATCGGGTTCTGTCCTAGATCCCCGATCTCCCAAACAAGTGTACGGCGGAGGTTAAATAAAGAGACAAACTATGATTTTTACAGTTCCAGGAGGGTCAAAACCATTTAATTAAGCTCGAGGCTTTGAGGGTAAAGACAAAGGATTCTCTGGATCAGTCCACTTACATTAGGACCAAGGACAAAGGGCGGAGAGACTGAGGAAAGTGCAGGCAATGAGCAGGACCTTGGGAGTCACTTCAAGGATGTCTCCAAGTAATGAATCAAGTCAACTCAGTAGCACTGTCTTATGAAGACAGGGTAGAAGTGAGACTGTAGGAGTAATCTTTGCAGCTGCAGTCTCTACCTTGTGAATTGGGGTTGGAGCCAGAGCGTCCGCAGCTGTCTTGCCTTTTGAGGTATCTTGACCGGCGCAGCCCCAATGAAACAGGAGACAGGAGACACTTTTGTGGACGACAGTTAACTGCTAGTTTATTTACGCGGGCTCTGGTTTATATATTTGGCCATGACCAATCACAGGCTGCCACAAGGAAGCAGGGCGGGAATGGGATGCAGGCTCTGGCTACTATATCCAGCTGTGGCCAATCAGGAGTTGCCACAGAGTACGGAGTAGAGCGCGGGGTGCGCATGGGTTGGCTAATTTAAAGAGGGACGTAGCGCATTGCGGAAGCTGGCGTGGTCCTTAGTCCCGGCTGGGGTATGGTATGCTGTGGCACTGTGACCCTGAGGGCAAAAGATTGCAGGTCCAGGCCCAGCTTAGTGAGCTTAGTGAGCAGCTTAGTGACTTACTGAGACCTTGTCTCTGAACAAGACGCTTAAAAAGGGCTGTAGATATGGCTCAGTGTGAAGCTCTTGGTGGAACTGGAAAGAAGACTGTTCAGATACTAGAACAATCTACACAAGAATTTAAAAACCATTACTATAAATATATATTATAAGCTCAAAAATCCAAAATGTGCTGTTCTTATTATAACTTGTTCTCTTCCTGTAAAACTTGTGTACCTGCCAGTTAAGTTGCAACCTTGTAACATACCTACCATGTAACACCCTCCCTTCCTCCTTAACTGCTTGTTCCGCCTCCCTGGTTCCTTTTATGGGGACAAACTGATCCTAAGACCCCAACCCCTCCCCTTGTGGCTTGCTACTGTATAATTTCCTGCAGCCCTTGGCTCAGGAGCACACTTTCCTGACTGATGTTTTGCCACTGAGCTCAGCTAATAAAGCGCTTTTTAAAATTTTTTTGGAGTCTGTCATTTTTCTGCCCATATCATTTGGGGGCTCCTCTGTCCGGGGTCCCACCTTTTACAGGATTTACCACCCCCACACCCCCCCACTCTTCAGATGACATCAGGATCTTTTTGAACACAGCTTCCTACTGGCAAGTACGTATTACTTTTGTTTTGCTCCTCGGTCTTTCTCCTTACTATGACTTGGGGAGTCAAGTTTTCAGGCTTACTCCCATTTGAGGCAATACATTACCACCATTTGAAGGAGGACCAGCCTCCGTTGGGTGCACATTTGGACAGTCAAGTTTACAGACTTGCTTCCACCTAGGCAAGACTTCACTGAGATCTTGTCTCAGTTCCCAAACACTTTCATCTTCCTGTTCCAGTCCTGATTCATCTGTTGCTGACAGCCCTTATAATTTGAGCTTGACCTAACATGTAAGCTGTCTCCTAGAGGTTCTTTTAGCTGATTAATTTGAGTTAACTAAATTAGATGATTTTTTAATGGGGCTATTTGGGTTACTCAATTGAAAAGCATGCTCTTCCTAGGCTAGACGACAGCTAGCAAATTGGTTATTTTAAATTCCTGGGACAGTTCTACAATTAGCAAGCAGGAGAGTGGCTACCTGGTGATTTTAACCAGCTCCTGGTTGCAAAGTCGAGAACTCCAGTTGTTGTAGCTTTTTGGATAGTTCTTTGTCTCTGGGGCAGGCTTCTGCCACCTTGTCTTTGTCTGTGTGGCAGGCCTCCACCATCTTGTCTTCGTTCACTTCTCTGCATTCCTTTTCTTGGGTGTCTACTATTATGGGCCGAACAGCTTCCTCCCCTTTGTCACCCCTGCAACTAGTTCTTAATCATTTTAAGGATTTTAGGGATCAAGGTGCCAGATATGGAGATCTTGTCTATTCTAAAAGGCTGAGAACTTTCTGTGAACTCGAATGGCCTTCTTTTGGTGTCGGGTGGCCTTCACAGGGAACTTTTAACTTACAAGTCTCTCAACAGGTCCATCAAGTTATTTTCAGACCCCCTCATAAGCCAGCCATGCACCCTGATCAAGTGGTCTAATGGCTAGGTTTCGGCACTCTCATCCATCAACTGACTTGGGATGACTGCCAGCAGCTCTTGCAGACTCTCTTCACATCTGAGGAATGCGAGTGAATCTGGACCTTGGCGTGTCGATCTGTCCTAGATGCTAATGGGAAACCCACTTCAGACTTAATGAGGCTCAATGCTGTTTTCCCTTTGACCTGCCCTAACTGGGACCTCAATACAGATGGAAGCAAGGAGACTCTCGATTGATACCGTCAGACTCTTCTTGTGGCACTCCAAAGTGCCACCCAAAAGCTGACCAACTTATCAAAAGTAACTGAGGTAAGACAATTGGCCTCTGAGTCTCCATCGGCTTTCCTTGAGCAACCCCCAGAGGCCTATCATATATATATACACGTATCTACAGACCCAGAGGCACCAGAGAATAGATGAGTTATTAATATAGCATTCATCTCTCATTTGGCCCCTGATACTAAACAAAAGTTGCAAAACTTAAGAGAGTTTTAAAGGTATGATGATAGGTCAGTTGATAGAAATAGCCCAAAAGGTTTTTGACAACAGGGAAGACCCACAAGAGAAAAAAATTAACCAAGATCTTGGCTGTACTAGTAGAAGGACATACTCAAGGCAAAAAGGAAAAACCAACTAATAAAGACCCTGCTAGACAAGAATCAATGTGCATATCACAAAGAATTGGGCCATTGGAAAAAGTATTGTCCAAAATTAAAGGTCAAATTGGAGAAAGGGGACACCACTCCTTGGGTCTTATTGGAAAAAGATTGACAATTTCAGGGTTCATCCACTCCTCCTGAGCCCTGAGTAACCTTAACTGTGGGGGGCGGGGGGAGCAACCCATAGGTTTCCTGGTTGATACTGGACTTTGCTAAGCTGGCACAAACCTATTTGGAAGTCCTACCCTTCTTTTGCAAGTCATTCGGGGTTCTGTTGGCATTTGTCGCTGACTCTTTTTGTCCTGCATGGACCCTGCAGCTGTTTTGTGGCCTGGCTTTGGCCCTCAGAAAAAAAAAAAACTACCCTGAGAAGGCTGAGCATTGGGTAGAGGGCTATGTCATTCTGCCTTGGCTGGGTATTGTGTGTCAATGCCTGGTCTTGTCCTGTGCCCCTCACCTGTAGAGGTGTTTCCCACCCCAGGAACCAGTTGTTGGTAGTCCTAATTTGCAGAATAGGAAGAGATGTTAACAGGGTGCCCATCACCCCAGCCATTGGATTATGTTAAAGGTTGCAGCATGGGTGGCTTTGTAGCGCCATCGTGTTGGTGAAGCTCCTTCTGCTTTACCATGTGGACTTTCCCTTGGAGGATAGCTTTTTGTTCTTAGGGATCCTTCTGCTCGTTGGACTTGGTAATCACCATCTCCTAGTGCAGAATAAGCCATCCAGAAGGCTATGTAAATAAAAACTACATGGTATGCTATGCATAAGGTTCTTCCATGTGTGAGACGACCCAGGCAGCTGGGCACACAGGGTCTCCTTGATGGGGCCTCCATGGTGAGAGGATGCAGGCACTGACCTTGGCCCTGCTGACTGCCAACGATGCAAGCATGCCATGCACTATGGGCCAAAGAAAGAGACTCTGTCCTTGAGGCTGTCTGGCTCCTGTTCCTAGAGCTGCTTGAATCTTCCGCACACATCACATGCAGGTGGTTACTGCAAAGGAAGACACTACCTATTGATGCTTAGCATCTTTCTGGAAGTGTTCAGTGAGTGTCACTCCTGGGGCCTAACAACATTCAGGCACCCTTCACAGCACAATCTCGAGGCCTAACATGCCTCCCCGGGTTCCTCCAGTCATCCAGGTGATCTCCTCTTCTCGCTCTCCTTCTCATCCTGTAAAGGCAGGCAGTATGGGCCACAAGGACTGGCATCTTCCCTGACTCCCTTTGGTATGTGCTGTCTGCCCATATTTGGGAGCGTCTTCTTTTGTCCTTCAGTTAAGTCATGCTGGCTTCTGGGTTTTGGCTTCTTGTTGCCAGCAGGAGCCTGAAAGCCACATGCTGGCCCTGCCCTCACCCCTGCCACTTCATTCCTTGAGACTGAGTGGGGTACACTCTGCCAATGAACGAGAGTTTTGTCCCACACCTTCCCTAAAGTGAAGACACACACCCAGCAAGAGAGCTGGATGGAAGTTGTGGGCAAGTATCCACGTGGCAAGGAAGGGCACACTCCGAGGACTTCATGAGATCCTAGCACTACCCCTGCTACTACCTGGTTATGAGCCCCGGCTGCCTCAGGTGGGGACTCCAGCAGGACGGTGGCCAGGCAGCCAGTGTGCTGTACCCACAGCCAATCACACTGAGTCTTGGGGTCACAGCCATCTCCTCACTCCTGGAGCTCTGCCCTGGGCCCCTGGTTTCCTGCCCACCCCTCCCGCACACAACACTTCCTGGTTCCCTCTCTCTGCTGCAGGTAGGTTCTCAAGAACCATGCAACAAAAAGAAACGCCATGTACTTTAAATGCTTATTGGAAAAAGAAGACAATCTGGAGGGCTGTATGCTTAGGGTCCAACATTCTGGGGAAGGGAAAATTACAGAGGGTGAAAAGATCAGCCATCCCCAGGCATTGGGAGAAGCAGAGAGGAATAGTCAGAAGACTAGGGATTAGTAAGATATCGACTGCGTGGGGACGTTGGTGGGTATATGTTCAAACCCAAAGACATGGGTTCAAACCCATGGAATGCACGTCAACCACAGATATTAATATAAACCACAGGCTCCAAATTCAGAGGGAAGCAGCCAGCAGTGGAGGCTGTGCGTGTGCAGAGCACACCTGCTGTGCCTGTGTAGGGGAGGCACCTGCAGGAAATCTCTGTACCTTCTGCTCCATGTGGCCATGAACCCAGAGCTGCTCTAATAAAGTCAAGACCACAGCTGGGAGTGCAGCTCAGTTTTGGTTCTTGCCCAGGCACAGGCCTGGGTCCAGGGAGTCCTGCCTCCCAGCACTACAAATAAATGAACAAAGTCTGTCAAGGAGACGAATGTATCTCCTCATGCTGCACAGTCTTCATAGCCCAAGCTTCCTGCAGAGCTCCTCCTTCCAATCACCTTCTCCACAAACTCAGCACAGCACACTGCGATGGCACTAGGTCTTCACAGAGGTGTCAGGAAACATCTCAGAAGCCATTCTTGCCACCTCCCCAAGGAGCATCTCAGGATGCTCAGGGCCTTGGGGGTCAGTGCAGCTCGCTGTCTGTCTCTGACCTGTCTCTGCCCCTCTCCTCACTCCCTGCCCCCTTGCTTGCTTTCCCTACATGCTGCAAGCTACTTCCTCCTCCAGTCTACTGCCACTCCAGTCTCTTAAGCTCAGCAGACACCTCCTCTGACAAGCCCACCTGAATATTCCCCAGCCCCTCTCCTCCCTTTATTACCCACTTTTCATCTGTTGGCTTGTCCGCTGTTGGTCCTTCCCTTCTAGTCTATGGGCTCCAGAGGATGGGACCCCACTTGTACTCTCACATGAGTACCTGCTGCCTTCCACTGCAGGCTCTCAGCACACACTGGGGGCAGATCCAGCGTGGGTCCAGAGCATGCTCCCTGCTTCTGCCACTCCACAAAGCACAGCCAGAGACAGCAGAGCCAATGAGTGGAGCCCACAGCCCAGGCCAGGGCCTGGAAGGAGGAGGGAAGTTATAATGACCAGATGACAGCTTGTGGACTTCCAGGTATGGGGAAAGCCCAGCTTCCCCAGTTCCTCCTCCCAATCCCTGCTGAATGTGGGTGCTAGGGTTTGAGGAGAAGCAAGGGTCTCTCACTCAGCAGCTGTCAGGCCGGCCTGTCAGTTGCTTCCCCACTCACAATGAGAAATCAGCAGTCTGTAGCCTGAAGAGGCCTTTGCCACAGTTGGGCCTTGCTGGCAGCCCTGAGATTGGCCTTCCAGCCTCAGAATCTGTGCAGTAGACACACCGTGTTCCAGAATGGCAGCAGCATAGAAAACTTGCTCCTCAGAATTCGATTCAGAGTGTTCAGCAATCTGCACTCAACCCCTCAGCCGAGAAAGAGAGAAGTCTGGCTACTGCTCTAGCTGGCAGCAGCACCCATATGGCACTGGTTTTAGGTGCATGTGGAATGCAAGAGTTGTGGGGTTAAGAGGACATATATCCTGATTTCAGAAGGTCTCTGAGACTAGTGTGCCCCTGAGAGAGCAGTGTGTGAAACTGAGTGTGAAATGAGAGGTGCAGAGGAGAAGTTTGGAAAAGCCAAGAATGTGAATCATTTGAGAAAACCAGCAAGGAGAGAGCATAGCAGGCCCAAGAGAGAAGCCATGGGAGCTACAACCACCTAAACTGCCATAGGGGTGGTGCCTTCCCCGCCCTTTGTAGCTCACAATTTGTCACAGATGGCATTGTATGCTGCGCATGGAACTACAGGATTTAATCCCTGCGGGATCTTGGACTTGCTTTGGTCTCAATGCTTTGTACTCCCCTGTTTATAACTTTTGGAATAAACATGTTTATCTTGTGCCATTGAATGTTGAGTGTTTAATTTTTTATTTATACTGGGGTTTGCAGCTAAGAGTTTGCCTTAGATATCAGAGGAGACTTGGGACTTAGACTTTTCAAGAATGTGAAACTGTTAAGACTTTAGCTACTCTTGCAGATAGACTAAATGTCTTTTGCATAATGGGATGTACATGAGTTGTTGGGGGCTTAGGAGCAGAGTGTTATAGTTCTAATGTAATATAATGTTGATAGATTTAATACTTGTTCTTAAGGATTGTTAAATCTGTGTTATAATGTCAAGGTATGAAATGATAAGAATAAGCACATCTTTGTATCTGGAAACCAGTTTAAAGAAATGTATCTGCTTGCCAAATTGAAAAGAATTAGATTGTAATGGTTGATACACTATGATCACCTTGAATTTCCCCAAACACTTAAATTCATAAATCAATTTTCTATCCTTTCTGTACCCTTTATGTTTATATACTAGTTTCTTGTTTTTCAGTGGTGAACTTATAGCACACATATTGTAGCAGGTCATTTGTTATCACCAAAAATGCAAAAAGGTTTGCCATCACTATTCTAGAAAGTTTTCGTAACGTTGAACTTGAAATGGACCCTGATCTACTGCTTCTCCACTGCGTGTTCTTGGTTCAATTTCTCAACTTCTCTTTGCTTCAATTTCCCTGTCAGTAAAGATCAACTGTTACTTAAAAGATTGCTTTTTGGATTGAGATGAAGCAAAACTTTTAGTTTGGTATTAAGCTGAAGTTGATATAATTGTAACGTATTCATTAAGCATAATTTACTGCTACCATTGTTAATAAACACAATCTGAATACAAAACTGTGCAAAGAAAAAAAAGCATAAAGATCTCTTCATCTACCATCTTCCCAGATCACCTATAAGCCCCATCTGCAGTAGGAACTCAAGCCCTTCAGCCCTGGGTTCAAAGCAACTCAGTGAACAGATGGCCCACAAAGGCTCAGAGCTCCTCAGACCAAGAAACTATCTCCAGGGAATGATGGACAACCATACCCAGAAGGAGGCTCAGAGACCTGAGTGGACAGGAAAGTAGCCAGCCAAGACCCTGGGCCCTTCAGATGCCAAGTAATGGGCTCAAGAAATTTCTATTGCCACTCAATTCACAGCACTGCTCTGGGGCTATAGTGCTGCCAGCCCAGGACTCATCAGCCCCAGGCTCCCCCAAAGAAAATCCTAGAGAGCCTTGGTACATTCAGCTGCGGCCAGAGAAGGTGTCAAGGGTTCTTCTGCAACTGAGCTCATCTTGCTTCTAGAAAGATGAGCAGAGCACTGTGCTGATCCCTCCAGAAGTTCTAGCAGCCAGGCTACTGTGGGAGATAACAGACACCTTTGCCACTCCCAGGCCCATGAGGAGACTATGAAGGGAGAAGTTCACAGGCTGCTAAAGGCAAAGCTACATTTGAGCCAGGGCTGTCTAATCCCAAAGCTTCGTCTCTGTCACACTCTGTGCTCCCAGCACAGCTCAAGACATGTGGACTGCAGGATTTAGCCCCCAGAATAATGCAAAGAAGAGTTCTGAAGCCAGCCCACCATGCTGTGTCATTATAATTCCCATGACCTTGGGCAAGTTACCTGCCATCTGGGTGCCCAAGTGTCCTTATTGGAAGGTAAGATGTCTCATCCATTTCACAGGGCACTGGATGGTTAAATGGGGGCACCTCTATAAATGACTCAGTACAGGCTGTTTTTCGATTTAAAAAATTCTATTCTGTGAAGAAGAATTTAGCTGAGCTCTGATTTTCCTTGAGCAGAGTAAAGGATCCAGAGAGCCTTATTAACTACTTAGCTTTATTATGTCTTAAAGTCAGATGCAGCAAATTCAGAGTAGAGAAAAACAGGGTACACCTGACTCAGAAAGTGGCCCAAATCATGCTGAATCAGAGGAGCTGAGGATCTGGGAGCCATGCACCTCTGAGACATATGGATACTGAAGCAGGAGTGGAACAAGGACTTAGGCCTCCTCATATACTACTCAGTGTTTTGCACCTGCAACTGTACCAGACCCCAGGGAACAATGGTGCCCTTTCCTCCTGGCTAACCCACAACTAGATGTTTTCTTGGCTCCTTGAGCAACTCATGAACTGTACAGCAAGGGACACAAGGAAGCCAGAAAGTCAAGCTCTTCCTGACACCTGGCCAAAGAGAACCAGTGCATTTAGCTTGCTACAGATGCTCAGCACCTCCCACCACCTCCAGAACACTGCCTAAGCCTTGAAAAAGCATCACAATGCATCCACTGAATGGATGGGGCTGTAGTGCTCACAAGGAGAACTCTAGCCCTCAGACTCACAGTCTGAGTCAGTCCTTACTGCTTCCAGGAAGCCCCTAAATGTCACCTGGAACTCTTTTATGGTTGATTCGTTGTGTTAGCTTGAGAAGTTAGGAGCTTAACTAAGTAACTCAGCAGTTCTACATTCTAGGGTACAACGGACATGCCCTAAGGTAAGCTGTTTACCCTCTAGGATGTTGTAATGGTTGATTCAGCAGGATGCCAGGGTGTTCACTTTGTAAACATCCTGAGTCTGTGCAAGAAGAGGGGAGGGAGATGTTGTGAGTGCTATACCTGTTCCAAGGTGGGTAACCTGATTTCAATATAAGGGAGGAAAAGAGACTTGCACCATCTCCTTTTTGCTCTTGTTGCTTTTGCTGTTTTCTGCCTCCTTGAACTGCTGCCCCTCTGCCATGTGCCATCCTGCCTTACAGCCTGCTGACCATGGACTAAAACCTCCACAAACTGTGAGCTAAATAAACCTTTCCTTCAATTTTCGGTGTCAGGTATTGTGGCTCAGCAATGAGAGAAAAGTAACTAACTACACTCCTCTACGCATTTGATGGTAAACCCTTCTGGAATCACTACCTAGCCCCAAAAGGGGATGGAGGAGACTGTGATTCCCAGCCCAAAAATCTAAAGCCCAACAAATTTGGCAGAACTTTCCTTTCTGACCTGATGACTGTGTGCCTTTGTCCCCCCTCATTTGTCTTCAGACAAACTCACAGATTACTTGCCTGCTCAAAACTCTTCCATCAGTCCTATGTTTGCTTGTTTGCTTTTGAGGTAGGGTCCCACTATGCAGTTTAGGCTGGGTTTGAACTATGTAGCCCAAGCTGGCCTTGAATTTGCAGCAATCCTTCTGTCTAACTCTCCTGAGAGCTGAAATTGCAGACATGCACCACCACATCCACCTGGGGCTCCCATCATCCCCAGAGCAAAAGTGAGTGTTTTCAATCAGCCTCCAGTTCTTTCTATGACTTCTGCTCTTGTTCATTCTACTCTGGCCTCAAACCGTTCCAAACAGCTTTCCAGCACGTGTCTACTCCAGTTCTTCCTTTTCTTCATATGTCTACTCAGGCATCACCCATCAAGATGCCACCAAGACCACCACTGCTGGTGAGCCCCTCTCATCCCTTTCCAACCTTTATAGGCTTCATAGCACTTGTTACTTTTAAGATACATCATTCATCTGTATGTCCCTCCAATAGACTGTACACTCAGTGAGATCATGTAATGACTCTCTTTATCTCCCTTCTCAACTTGCACCTTCTACAATAGTACCCAAGACATAGCATACATTTGATAAATATTTGTGAAAGGAAGAATGAAAAGGAGGAAGGAGGGAGAAAGAGAAAAGACGTTTTCTTTTAAGAGCTGGCAGAAAATGTCCACCTTGGTCACTGAAACTTCAAGTAGAACTCAGAGCAAACCCTCCATTGTTCCCACATCCTCATAGCTCCTTGCTATCTGCACAAGCTGAGGTAAATGGACTTTTCTGCCTCTTCTGCTTCCCCTAATACACAAGATCCTGGGCTATTTCTAGGCCTTGTCTGAAGTCACAGCTCCCTACCACTGATTTGTGTAAGCCAGGGTCACAAGAGCCTGTCCAGATAGGAACCTGGTTATTCCATGCACTAGGTAGGTGTCCTTGCAGCTGGCTGCTCACATCTGTGGGCCTCCAGTTGTTCATATTTCAAGTAAAGGAGATAAAGATCTCCCTCTTGAGACTCTGTTGGGAGGGACGGAGACAATGCTTGGGAAGCACTGGGCATGGTGCCTGGTACAGAGCAACCCTCCAGAGCAGGCAGTAACTAGGCATCAGAGTCTAATCCCCCCCCACACACACACACCCATACCCACTGCATGGGGAAGATGTGGAGAAAGCTGAAGTCTGTCCTGGATGACAGCTAAAGAGCCAAGACCCTTTCTCACTGCCCCTACTGTCCCTGTGGACCCTAAATATGCATACAAAACAATTTAAAGCAGTGAGAGGCATTTGTTTACTACTGTGCCTAGGAGCTGACTCAGTGCTGGGGACACACACACACACACACACAGGATTTGAACCTTGCTCTGGCTGAGTTCAAGTGCTTTGTGGGTGTGGGTCTGGTGCTGGGTCTCAAACCCAGCATGCTAGGCAAATGCCCTATCACTCAGTTATATCTCCAGCCCCAACTAAACACCTTCTTGCCCTGCCACCTGGACACTGGGTTCTGATAGCTTCCTGCATCAGCACAGGACAGAGTTAACAGCCCTGTAGCCGCTACTCTCCCGTTGGTGGCTGCAGTGGCTCAGACCAAGCTTGTGCATATGCCTGGCTTATTTAAGGCAGAAACTGACTACTGAGAAACTGACTCCTTTCAGAAAGGAGGGTGAGGCTATGAGAGGTAGAGATGTGACTCCTCTGAACTTCGAGGAAAGAGAAGAAAGAAGTGACCTGATTCTCAGATTTCTAGACAAGAGCTGCCTGTCTCATTAGAGATGAGCTCTCTAATACTGTAGGAATCCCATCTCTGCTGCTCCTAGAGGTGAGCAAAGAAAAGAAACAACAGGGGATTCTGCTTTGGAGAGCATAGATTTGTCATCAAGCTCTCAGGAACACCCTGTGTTCAACAGACAGCTAAAAAATACCAGACTTCAACCTGTCCCCTGCACTTAGTCTATGCTCTAGAAACAACCCCTGTGCTCTCTGGTCCAGGATATTCTCACTTGTACAATGAAGATATCCCAAAGTCGTGGCACTGGATAGGCATGGATGGGCATGTTTTGTGGCTAAGCTTAACTCTACTGTCAGACTTGGAGGTAACTCCGAACTCTGCCCTTTCTTGGATTCATGATCCCTCCAGTCCTCTGACATTCAGTTTTCTTATCTACCCACTTTATGAGGTTCATGTGTACTCAGGGCAAGGCACATAGCTGCCCCCTGTAAATAGAAGCTATCATTAATAAAATAATTGGCCCCAACACATGTAGAATTTAGAAACAGACACGAATTTGCAACCAAGAGACACCCTGATTCTAGATCTTCAGTTTCACCTATCTGCCTCTAGAAGGTTCTGCCCTCATTCATCACAAGCAACAAGCAGGGTAACAAGAGGTCTATCTGATCAGGAGCTAGCTTCAGCCTCAAGCTAGAAGAAAGCTCACTCCAAGCTCCAAAGCTGGCTGCCATGAGGAGGCCCAGCCCTACAGTTACTAGAAGCAATGCCTGCGCAGCAGACCAACCTAGATTGACATGCACCATGTTTGGGACCAGGACTACTGCTTCCATCTATAGATGGAGAACTGAGTCCTAGACTTGAGCAGGGATCTGATGGGCTGCAGCAGAGCTAGGGCCAGGAACTCAGCCAGAACCTTCTCCAGATGACTTCTGATACCCTTTGCTGGCCACAGCTGCCTCCTCAATTGAATGAATACTTTTTAGACTTTTTATAAGCCTGAGTCTGAGATTAAGGGTGGTTGACTAGTTAATCTTGCAGAAAAAAATTCAAGGCAGTCAAATGTTGAGGCTGTAGCATAGCTGTTGTTAGGGGCTTTTAACCAGATCTATGCTGAGAATCAGGAGCAAAGAGCCCAACAGGATGATTTAAAGTGTTGTGAGTTTGGCCAGAAAGGAAGCTCCATAGGGCAGGGCTGAGGGAGAGCTTAGGTCATGGCTGTCAGGGACAGAACCTCCAAAGCAGTGCTGCTGTGCCCACAGAACCTAGAGACCTGCACCGGTCTCCATGAGCACATGGGGCTCTGGTGTACAGTGACCCTGCAATTGCTGAAGTCTGAGCATAGGCAGGCTGCTCTCATGGCCTCTGCCAGCGTTTGTTACAGCCTTAAACATTCTTTTCAGGAGACACTTCACTAATGTCCACTGGATGCTGCTCTATGCCTGGCTAAGACACTATCCTTTCTAAGTCCTTGGGGTCTGGTGTGTAGAGCTGTGTGGGCTGCGGTCAGTGCTGTGTCCTAGAGGATGCAACAGAGCCCAGCGCACCTGTTACCAGGTGTGGATGTCACCAGGTGATGGCACCTCCTGCAGGTTGTCCTCATTGTGCCCTTAGTGGTACTTGGCTCATTTCACAGATTGCCTCCTAGAATCCCCTCAGGCCATGATGGTACAGGATCCCATTGCCCATTTGAGGCAGCTGAGAAGAAACTGTGACGTGCCTAGAGTGACACACTGCATACCCAAACCACTGCAATTCAACAAAAGTTCATGTCTAATTACAAGTGTCACAGACACAATATTGCCCTTATTGCTTACAGGAGTTACAATTTATTAAGTCCCTACCATGCAGGCTCTGCTTTAGAAGAAATAAGAAAATAGTTTATCCTGAGCCCAATTATAAAACAGGTTTATTTGGACTAAGTGTGGCCCAGGAATATGGACTCAAGTTACCCTGAATGACATGGAAGAGAGATTTTTATTGAATAGTTAAGTCAAATACAGAGACTGATAGTAAATGGCTGTCAAGAAGGACTAAAAAGAGCCCAAGAGAACTTTGGTTATTGGACTACAATATTCTATCTCTTCACAATCAGAATGGTTAAGCAGCTGATGTCTATCTGCATGCAGATCAGTAGAGACAATGGCTTCCTCAGCAAACTCCAGTTCATGCATTCTTTCAATTTAAAATAAGATTTATTTATATTGGAAAGGATATAGTGATTTAGTACTTCTTACACTGATAAAATGTATTTCTGCAAAACAAAATCAAAGAAAACATAAGCTTCTGGCCCTGCTTTATGGGTATGAATACTTCCTTGCTGTACAACCTCAAGTAAGCAACTCAACTCTCAGCACTTCACCACCTCCTACTTGGGTAAAATAATCTGGTCTAAGAGCAATTAGCAGCCTCTGACTCCTAAACCACAGGGATCATCCTTGCTAACTAAAGACACTGGCGCCATCTAGTGACCTTTGCAGTCCTGAGGCACCTGCAGGCAGGCGGTAGGAAACCAATGGCCAAGTCTGAGGTAGGAGCAGGGAGAAAAACCAAGTATTCACAGAACGTTTTTGAGTCTCAGGCCTGTCTGTAAATGAGAACAGTTTTTTGTTTGTTTGTTTTTTCTGAGACGGTACTGTCTGGGCTTTCCACCCTAGAGGAGGAAAAGAAAACCCCCAACCCCCGCCCCGTGCTTTCCTGAGAAATATTGAGAAGAGGTCAGGAGCAGGGCAGCAGGAAATGCAGGAAGCGCAAGCCCCTGTGATGGAGCAGCTGCTGGTTTATGTCTTGTAACTCTTTTCCACACATAACAGATTGGGCGAATCAAGGAGGACATCCTTCCATAGGGTGAAATCACCCAGCCACTGGATATTAGTGCATAGTCTACACATAATCCTAGCTGGAACTATTAAACATGTAGAGTAGAAATTATTTCCTAGTGGAGTATGCCTGTAACCCCAGAACTGAGGCGGATGAGGCAGGAGGATCACTATGAGTTCGAGGCCAGTCTGGGCTATATAAGCAAGTTCAGGCCAGCCTATACTACAAAGTGAGACTGTTATAGCTAGCTGAGCTAGTTAGAAATATTATAGGCAGTGAGACAGGGCTGAGTCCTCGAAGGAGCCAGTGTAGAAGCGCAGGTACCTTGCAACTGTGAGGGAGACAGACACCTCCTGCTGTGGCCAAGCCTCAAGACAAAAGATCAAACAAATGCACTCATATCCTAAGGACTGATATTCTAAATAGTTCTTTGTCACCCTGAGAAAGCCAGGAGTCACCATCCCAACCCTCTATGGGAAGTTACTGCTCTGTAAGAATACTCACTTTCTGTATGACTTGCTTCCTCATTTGTCCCCAATTTAATAAATTTTAGCTAAGCAATTAATCTTATTGGTTAACCATAGTTCTGTCCCACTGTATGCCCATCTGCCTTATGAGTTCCCAGTTTTCTCACCTTGAACCCGCCTCACCCCATGATTTTACTCTATAAAAGTCCCTAGAAAAGACAGAGCCTTTGACAACCTACTCGGAACCACTTCTGTCTCTCAGACAGAAGCTTTCTTCCTCTCAATAAATATATTCTACTCTTAACATCAGTTGTTCCTAAAATTTATTCTTCGATTTTAGAGGACTCAACTCATACCAGACATATAGTAGATTGACAGTTTCATTCCCCTATATCAAGACCATGTCCAAAAAGAAAGAAAGGAGGCTTTATTGACATATGATCATTAGTAGTTAGAGTAGGATTTGATGATGGCATAAGAATTTTCAAATTGATATGAATGGATGGGGGTATTAATACCAAGGTCACAATTATATTTCCAAAATGGAAATTTAATAGAATAAGACGTTTTTGTTAGAGCCAATTTAGGCTTACAGCAAAACGGAGGGAGGGTACAGAGATTTCCTGTTACCATCTCTCATGCATGTATTGTCTCCCCCTTAGCAACGTCATCCACCCAAGCAGTCTGTCTTTATAACTGGTGAACCTAGGTGGGCACATTGAAGTAAGCCCCTTAGGGTTCACTCTTAGAGTTGTGTGCTTTATGGGTTTTGACAAATGTATATGGCATGTACTTACCATGATAGTGTTTTATGCTGTAGATTCACTGCCCTAAAATACTACTGTCACCCGTCTCTGTCACTTACTAACATTTTTAGTGCTTCACCTTTTCTGGACTGTCTAGACTAGAAGCAAACTATACACAGCTTGTTCCTGATTTATTTCAGTTAATAATTTGCATTTAAATTTCTTCCCCTGTCTTTAAATGACTTGATAGTACATTTCTTTTTCACACTGAGTGACATCCCATTGCCTGCATGTACCATAGATTACTTATCCATTCACCTACCTACAGACATCTCGATGGTTTCCAAGAAAATCAAGAAAAAATGTTAGAGATTTTTTCTTGGAGTAACACATAGCAGTATCTAGGTAAAACAGGATGTCTAGGCCCAGATCCTTTGTGCTCCAGGGATAAGTGTTTTGTGGACAGCAAAGAACCCCAAGAAAAGCCTGGGAATTCAATATCTGAATCCTTGGTCTTGCTGCGGCACCAGGAGCTTACTCCAGTTGGGACCAAGTGAAGGGGGACTTAAGCTCTTAATAACCAGTCCTCTGAGCCAGTGTTCTAACAGGAGGGAATGGACACTGAAATTGCATGAAAAAAATGTTAGCCTGTAACCCTCATTGTGCTAGGAGTAACAGCTTTGGTTGCTGCCTTGGGTATACTAATTTACAGGATTAACACTCTGCAAATGAAAATCTCACTGTGGCAGCTACAGAGATGGCAGTAATTTCAGAGACCTTCAAAAGTCACTGGACTAACTGGCTGGCATGGTCTCGAACATCGGCAGGAGCTGAACTGGATGCTCACTGCTGAGCAGGGTGTGGTTTATCCTCAGTGATTCTTGCACTTACACTAGCATCTTTCAGCAGGTTGAGACTGGAACCAATGCCATCTCAGACAAATCAAAGTGGCTCCACCACTAGGGGGCTCTAGACTCTCTGGCCACACAATGAAAGGGAAATTAAAATTTTAAATAAAGCCTGCCAAGAATGCCATCCAAAACCAGTGGACATATCTAGACAGACCTTGATAATAGAACATTTCTTCCTTTGTGTAACTCCTGTCTTTACTGCCTTTGTATAACTGATGGACTTGCTATGTAACTTAAAATGTAATAGGACATTCCTTCCTTTGTATAGCCCATGCTTTGTAAAACTGATGACCTTGCAATGCAACTTGAAATGTTTAAACTCCCTTAACAACGCAAAATGTCACCCAACCCTCCAATCATAATGCACCAAATCTACTTCTGTACCTCCGCACTTGCTTTCCCCATAAAAGCCCCAGAATCCCACCAAGCAGGGCTCTGACTCTGGGAAAGATCTCAGTGAAGCCCACCAGTGTAATAAACTACCTGCTAAATCTTTGCCATTTCTTCCTGTTTGGTCTGTTGTACATAATACTTCTTGGCTCCCTGACTGGAAAGACCATGATGACCACATAGCTCACTGGGTGAGGCCTGGCAGCTGAAGCAGGGACCTCCCTAGGCTCCTCAACAGGAAGGCACACCCTCCAGATCTTCTTCGAGTCCCCTTGGAACCTGGACTAGAGCCCTTGCTTGGTGCTGATGGTCCTTGTCAGAACCAGAAGAGGGAGAAAGGACCCAATCAGGTCAGACCACCAGATAAGCTAAGACCCCAGGGGCATTCCACTCAGTCAGTCTGTCAGTCAGTCCTGCTCATACTCAAGCAGAAGGAGAGCCTGATCATGTCTCATTAGTTAAGGCCACCCATGAGGGTAAATGGGTTGGAATATTTAACTTCTGAAAGGCTGCTGAATGACTGTGTGAGTGTTTATAATGGACATTGAAAGCAGGAAGCCGCTCTGTGCCTCACAGTGAAAGGCCCTTTTAGGCCCTCAGAGTTGTGGAGCTTGAGGGCCCCAACTTGTGGTTCCATGGACATGATTAATAAGGACAAAACAAAGAACCTAGTGACTCTTCTCCAAAGTCTGGATGGTTCTAGTGTTGCTTAGAGGTAAGCAGCCAGGTAATCATCTGAATGGTCTCTGTGAGCAGCACCCACCCTTTGTCTGTTGCACCACTATTGAAGGGTATACTCATACACTATAGGGAGACAGGAGGGGTGTGAGCCAGAGTAACCTGCAGCCCTTGAGTGTATGCTGAAAAACTTCAAGAAAGGATTCTCTGATGGTTGTGGAGTGAAAAATGAAACCTCAAAGCTTGCGAGCTTTCCATGAGACTGGCTGGCCAGACCTGTGCCTGGATTGGCCACCCAACGAAAGTCTCAATGTTGAGACTGCCCAGCAAGTCTGCAATGGTGTAACAGACCCCAAACTGGCCACTCTGGCTGGTTCCCTTATATCAGCTCTTGGCTTAACTTGTATCAGAGCCTGTCACCTTGGCTTCATGCCCACACCCTGCATGACAAAAAGGATCATCCTGGCCATCAAAACAAATTCCCTCTCAGGCCTCCCCTAAACTAGAGAAGCTTTATTCTGTCTTAACTGAAGACCCTGAGTCTGATCTGCCTCCTTTTTACCTAGCTGGCCTCAGGATGCCCACTGTTGACCAAGCACCATCACCGCAGCCAGCATCTCTACCACCATGGCCAGAACTGCCACCGTTGCAGCCAGGGCTTCCACTGCCATCCTAGTGACAGCTCCAAGCACTGTGGCTGTCACCACCATCAAGCATGTCTCAGAATCCATATCGCTTTTGACCTGCTACAGCTGCACCCTCTAGTGGCCCAGAGATCTACATCTAACACAGCCATCCCAGATTTCACAGCTCCGCTGCCAATAGCCTCTGCAGCACTTCCTAAGCCCTGGATTGATTCTTTATCAGATACTGTCAACATTTACAGGGACACTGACAGCCTTATCACCCATCATCTGTGCTCTGCCAGTCAGAAGCTCCAGTTCATCTCCAGCTGCCACTTCATGTCTACCCTGGAGGTCAGGGAAATTCACCCAACCAACCACCTCTGTGATGTGTCACCGGCTATTTAGTTCCACTGACCTCCTCCACTGGAAGCACCATAACCTCTTTACTTGAGGAACCTCAAGCAAAGACTAACCTCCTTATATCCATCTTCTAGACCTACTTACTGTCATGGAATGACTGTCAGAAGCTCCTTCTGACCCTGTTTAGCACTGAAGAATGCTAAACATTCTAGAGGGGGCCAAATCTGGCTAAGATCAAAAGCCCCCACGACTGTGGTTGATCCTGATGCTTGGGTACACACAACATTCCTACAAGTGAATCCAAACTGGGGCTGCAACATGACAGAAGGCCTTAGATCAGTACTGCAAAGATCTCCTTGAAAGACTCAAGTAAGAAAACAAAAAGCCAATACACATGTCCAAAGTAACCAAAGTCACTCAAGAACCCAGTGAAAGGAGCCAGACCCAGGCCCTTCTCCATGAATCAGCACCATTTGCGGACTGTGGAGGGAGAGAACCAGGCCTCATGGGAGGAGGTCCCCCCAGGAACAAATATCATTTTCACTGTTTTGATGGGTTGGGTTTTTTATTTTCTTTTGTTTATGTTAACTCTGATGGCACGAGCAGCTATTTAAAAGATAGCAAGACATGTTATAGAAGCCATTATGTATTTACTACTGGCTTGTTCTGTACTTCAGGTTGCTCATAAGGTTTTCATGAACCCACAGATAGAGGAAAAGAAAAAACAGCAATATGAGGCAGGTCATAGAACCCAGCAGAAAGCTGCTCTCCAGGCTGCAATGTTTAGAAAACTTGTTCCTGAAATATCTCACCAAGACAAATCCCCCCACAGCAGACAATATATAAGGGGCCACCTAAAACTGGTGGCAGATCCAAGACCCTGGCAACTGACCAATGCGCTCGCTAGAAACAAACTAAAAAGATAAATTCCCCCTCCATCTGTGGGACACAAAGAAACCTGATTGTCTGAGGCTACCCCAGCCTGAGCCTCTTCTGCCACTCTTCAATGTCACTAAATAGGACAGGCCAGGCTCCATTACACTGGGCCTATGGGAGCCCATGGTTGTTGCCAGAATCGGAAGAGGACCTATGACTTTCATGGTGGAAAGTGGGACATTCAGCTGTGACTTAGCTTGTTGTTCCCTTATCCTCTTGGCAAGCCTAAGTATTGGAGCCACTGGAGCCCCCACTGAAAAGAAATTCTGTCAAAGCAGGTCACGCAAGATTCCATTTTATTGAACATAAATTCTTGTACATGCCTGAGTGTCCTATCACTCTTCTGGGATGTGCTTTGAAAGACTTGTTCCCAGAAGTATGGACTGAAGACCTACCTCTAGGGCTTACAATCAATCATGCCTCTTTGGTGATTGAGCTCTGTCCCACTGCAGCCCCCAATGCTCTTAAGCAGTATCCAATGTCATGAGAGGGTCAACTTGGCAGCTAGCTCTACATCTCTGCCTGAAATAATTCGGAATCCTTATAGACTGCCAATCATCTTGGAACACTCCCCTCCTCCTGGTAAAAAAGGCCAAATGGTGACTACCAACCAATGCAGGATCTCCATATCATCAACTCAGCCACCACAACTCTGTCTTCAATAGTCTCCAACCCTTATGCTTCCCCCGAAGGTTGCCTGGTTTACCTGTCTGAACTTAAAGGATGCTTTCTTCTGTTTGTAAATTTCACCTGTCATCCTGTACTTGCCTTTGGATGGCAGGACCCAGAGACAGGACAGAAAGGCCAACTTACCTGGTCTTATTTACCACAAGGTCTCAAGAACTCCCATACCCTCCCTGGGAAGCACTGAATCTGTAGCTCAAACAAGGCAGACTACGGGAAGGAAACACAGGCTCTTTTCTTCCACCTGGTGGCCACAGGCTATAAAATCTCCTGGAAAAAGACTCAAATACACAAACAGAAAGTATGTTATTTAGAGTTTAATTTAGAAAAAGGAGTCAGGTGCCTGGGTCCCAAGAGAAAAGAAGTCATCTGTTTCATTCTGAGTCTTGAAAATAAAAGACAGCTTAGAAAATTCCTGGGTGCTGAAGGCTTCTGTTGAATTTGGACGCTGGTGTTCACTGAAAAAGCATATATATGAGATGCTGGCAGGAAAAAAAATGAAAGAGAGCTATTAAACTAGATTTTAGAAAAACTAAATCTTTTCAGATAATTTGGGTGCTGTCAACTGTCCTGGCACTAGACATCTCTACTGTTGAACCTGTTCACTGATAAATGGAGACATCTCACCTCAGGAGTCCTCCCTCAGAAGATCAGCCTGTGGGAAAGACTCACTGTCCATTTGTCAAAGAATATGGACTTGGTGGCCAAAGGCTAGGCCCCTGGCTGACGGCACAGACAGCCAAGTCCTCCTAATCAAGGAGGTTGACAAATTAACTTTGGGACAAAATCTGACTGTCCAGGTGCCACATACTGTTCTAAAGCTACTCAACAGTGGGGACATGGTTGATTCTTGACCAGCCATGTCACGTAGTACTAAGGACTGCATTATAAAAATTTCTGACTTACTTTCCACTAACTAAACCTCTAAACCCAGCCACCTTATTGCCCACTGAGCCTCCCTCTGCACTCCTTGACCACAACTGTCTCATTTTGATTGATGAGCTTTTTGTTAGCTGTCCAGATCTACAGATATAATTCCTGTCTAATGCTGTGTACACCCTATTCATGGATAGAAGTAGCTGAGTCAAGGATGGAAAATGCCAGGCCAGATATGCTGCTGTTACCACAGGGGAAATGCTCCTAGGCAGGCCTCTTCCATAAAACTGGTCTGCTCAATGAGCTGAATTATGGGTCTTGAAACAAGCTGTTAAACTGGGCAAAAAACGAAAGAGAAAACATATACACTGATTCAGGGTATGCTTTTGTCACTGTTTATGTCCATGTAATGTTGTACAAGGAAAATGGACTTCTCACAGTATAAGGGAAACAAATTAAAAACAAATACGAGATTTCTCAACACCTCACTGCAATGTGGAAGCCTAAGAAAATCACCATTATCCATTGTAAAGGGCACCCAAAAGTAAAGGCACTGTTACTCCTGAAAATCACAAAGCTGATGAGGCTTCAAAAATGGCAGCTAAGGACTCTGCCTGGGGAACAAGTGACCTGAAACAAAACTTGAAAGCCCAACATAAAATAGCCCTAAAACTGTTCTCATTCTCCACAGTGGGCCCCTTCACTACTCCAAGGGAAAAAAAAATCAAACAGACACACCAGGAAGGGGCCCACATAGGCCCAAATGTGCCTGGACTTTTCCAGACAATCAAATGATAGTGCTTCAAAATCTCGCTTATGCCAGGGTAAAATGCGATCACGGTATCACCCATGGAAAGAAAACTGCTACGCTCCTTCTGGAGCAAGATGGCAGATAGATAACAACTAGCTATAGAGGCTGTCTGAGATACTCAACTTAGAATTCAACATAATACAGAGTGGGGAGCCCCAAACAGAGGGAGATGAATTCTTTCATCCCAAGAAGAAATTAAGGTGACTTACCAACCATCCGAGGTTCTGAAGAGGTCCTGCTACAGCTTGCTGAGGTCCCACTTCGGCTTGCTGAGCTGTCCAAAGTCCCACTGCTTCGACATTAAATGTGGGGGCCGGTGAGCCAAAGGAAGAGCTGAGTTGGCAGGGTGCCTACATTGACCTGTGGTGAGTGATGGGAGTGGAGCCATTCCATAAATAGGGGGGCTCCGGCAGACGACATTCTGGGACCGGGCAGGACTGGCAAGTACAAGGGGCAGCAGTGACTTCAGTCAATTGCTCCCTTCCAGAATAGGATTGGTGGAGTGAGGTAGGCCTGGCTGAGACCTAATAGGTTATCCAAAATCAAGTCCCTACAGTGGTGTCACACACTAACCACACTAACCCAGTGAAATCTCAGAAGTCTGACTGACAGTGCAGGCCACAGCAGCTTGACTGACCTGGAGGGGAGGCGTTGCAAAGAAATGTAGTGCACAATACAGCAACTTACTGATCCCCAAGCTGCCACATTCCAGCTGCTGCCTGCGGCGCCTCCGGGCTGCTAGGGAGACCTGTAGCCACGGCCCGGGAGTGACTGGGCACCCACCAGCTGCCCTTGCCCCTGACCCTGCTGCAGCCACCGACCGAAGGAAGGCAGCGCAAACTCCACTGCTGCCACCGCCATGCTCCAGCCACCACCACCCGGAGAGGAGGTGATGCAAAGTAATACAGTGCAGACCACAGCACTTGACTGATCCAGAGGGGAGGGGCCAGCATATGCTGTCCCTGCCTGCAACTCACTAGCACACTTCACTGGGAAGAGTCATCTAGCCAGCACCCTTTAGAAGAATTGTAACCAACAAAGAAAGAAACTGGGACCTTCTGGAAGAAGCAAAAAAGATGGGAAGAGGAAGCAACAACAAAAAGTTCCCAGGTCCCAACCCTGGGAACACTGACCAAGGACAGCTAAATACAAAGGAGAATGAGAACAGCAAACATGCAATATTAGACACAGCACCAGTGGACATAAAGAGATATATTCGAGACCTCATAGATGAGTTCAAAAGTGAAATATTTAGCCAAATAAAGCAAAATATAAGAAAATTAATTAAAGAGATACTAAGCACCCCTCAAACAAACACAGACAGAAGAAGGGAGGAACTCAAACAAAGGAGAGAACCATTTGATGAAGAATATAAAAAAATAGAATACATGAAGCAGATTCAAAGAGATCACCAGGAAATTAAAAACTCTATGGAACGATGGCAAATCAGCTTGAAAGAAATTACGGGTGGATTTTCCAAACTGGAGGACACTTTTGCAATGTGGGAGTATGAAAGGGAAAACTTTTTAAAGATAACAAGGAAACAAGCAGTAACAAAACAAAGGCTAGAAGATGACAAAAGGATGTATAACTTGAGAATAAAAAATGTGAATGAAGAAGCTGGGATACAAACAAAGGAACTACAAAGGTTATTCACAGAAATAATTAATGAAAACTTCCCAAACATAGGAAAAGGAAATGATATTCTGATATATGAGAAGCCACCTACAACCAAAACAGAACTACACCCAGGCATAAAATAATCAAGTCTTTAAATTAAATTTTTTTAAAAAGGCACTACTGTACCCAGTGCTGATCATGAAGTGTCATGATGTGAAATCCAGCAATACTAATATGCTTTGTTCAGAATGATTTTAACCTGCTTTAGTTTGTTTAAACATAAATGAAGATATGGATAACTGCATGTATGTTTAAGTGTATAGGACTGACAACCATGTTACTAAGTTTTTGTTGGACAGTTGAACAGAACTGTTTGCAGTCTCACTGTTTCAATTCCCACTTTACATATTCCATGCTTGTACCTTGAACAACTATTTGTAAAACGACAATATGTAAACATCAACTAGTGATTTCTTACTGTTTATTTTCTCTGAACGTATGTATTATTTCTACCTATTTTCTGTTTTCTGTTTCGCTTGGTCTTTCTTTAAATAAAATTTAAAATAAAGAAAACTTCTACGAATCAGCTTCTAAGCGGTCACTATTGTATTCCAAATTTAGCTTTGATCTGCACCTCTGTTAGTCAAAGATATCATCTGTACAAAGACTGAACTCCTGTCTGGGCCCAGGCCCCTACCCAGTATCCAAAATGCTGAATTTTCCCCTTTGGAAGACCTACAAATAGATTTTATAGATATCAAGCCATTTAGAGACTATAAATATGTCCTGGCACTTGTCTGTACTTTTTCAGGTGGCTAGAGGCATTTCCCACTAAAACAGAAAAAGCCACTAAGAGAAATTATCCCCAGATATGGGATGCCTCTAACCATTGGCAGAGATAATGAGCACACATTTGTGGCATAAATAACCCAGAAGCTGACTAAAGTTTTAAAATCAGATTAAACTGACATATAGCATACAGCTCTAAATTTTTTTTTAAGGAAGACTTTAAAGTCAGTATTGTCTAAGCAACACCAAGAATTTCAGGCATCATGGGTATATTTGCTCCTCAAGGTCTGACATTTACCAGAACTCACAGGATATACACCCTTTACAGTTCTACATCCAAAATTAGGGGTCTCCAGGGAGACCTATGTTAGCTAAGTAATAGATCTCTGCAAGGGCAACTTACACAGTTAGAAAGACCTTTTCTCAGATACACAAAAACATAGCTGAGAAGCCTGTCATACCACAGACACACCTGCCCACACATGGAACCCTGGAATATGGTGTGGATTAAAGGTTGGAAAAAGGAGCCCCCACAATCTCTTTGGAGAGGCCTCTACTTAATTATTTTGACCACTCCCACAGTGATAAAGATCCAGTTGTGAGTCCATCATTCTCAGATCAAAAAAGCTCATCCAGACAACTGCTGGCAAGCTTTCCTGGATGAATCAACTCCCCTGAAGACAACTCTAAGGAGACAATGCACTCAAAGCCCTGCTCTTGTCACTCTGGAAGCTGATGAATCTAGACACAGCTGAAGCTGGGTGGACTTCATATATCAGAACATCCATCCAGATTGATTCATGTTCTGCTATTCAGTTTGGTTTCCAGTCCCCTTGCTCTTAGAATTCATCCAACGGTTGAATCTCAGAATTCATCCAACGGTTCTGAGCTCTGTCCCCAGGGGATTGGGAAGTTTCCCAAAAGGTCACTTGCATTGTCTTCTACATTGATGTAACAGTTACTGACCTGTTTGCTCCTACTCAGTTTTCTTGACCCACATGCTTGCCACTGTCTTGGGAGTGGGCCAACAGTGTGTACAGTTGGACACCAAAATAGCAGATGATTTTACAACAGTTCAGGGAGTGCTTGACATGCTACAAGACTGAACTGATTTCCTAGCCATGGTAGTTCTCCAAAATTTCAGGCATTAGACATCCTCACAGTCCAACAAGAGGGCACCTGCTTGTTCTTAGAGGAAAAATGCTGCTACTATGCTAATAAGTCTGGTGCTGTCAGAGAAACTGCCCCCCAGTTACAAGAACAAATAAACCAGTGGGCCCAATACAGACAGACAGACTCTTACTAGTGGAGCCCCTGGGAAACTGGAAGCCATGGCTGGGAGCTCTATTTGGACCACTAACAGGCCTTCTCCTCACGTTCTTAATAGGGTCTTACCTATTAAATTAGCTCACTTATTTTATCAAAACAAATAAACAGTATTACCTTCCAAAAGACCCTTAGGTCTGGTACTTCCTATAGAGCCTTAAATATCAACATCTCCAAAAGTGATTTTTCTGATTATCCAAAAGTGGGGGAAATGGAAAGGAAATTAAATTTTTAAATAACACCCCTCAAAAATGCCCTCCAAAAGCAGGTAGACATGTCTTAATAACAAAACATTTCTTCTTTTTTTGTAACCCCTGTCTTTACTGCATTGGTATAACTGATGGCCTTGCAATGAAACCTGAAATGTTTAAACTTAGCAACCCAAGATGACCCTCAACCCCTCCAACCATAATTAGTCAAATCTACTTTTGTACCTCCCACTTGCTTTCCCCATAAAAGCCCTAGAGTCCTCTGGGAAGGGCTCTGACTCTGGGAAAGATCCCAGTGAAGCCCACCAGCATGATAAATTGCTTCCTAAATCTTCTTAGTGCACTTTCTTCCCACATTTGGTCTGTTTTCCATAACAATCGGTCTTCTCATAAATCAAAATCTTCTATATGTTGCCTTCTATATCCACCTGGCTCCTTCCTCTTGGAACCTGTCATAGCTTGTGTCTAGATATCCCCCCAAAAGCCTTTTCAGAGGTGGCTGACCTAGAGAAAATGGCACTGGGATTAAGAGTGTGTGATTACTAAATCAGTACACTGATTAGTTTGGCACTACCCTAACCCTGGTGGGCTGGATACAATATAAGGGATAGAGTATTGAGAACCCATCCAAGAGTCCCAATTGTTAATATCGAAAACCCAGCCAAGAGTCCTGATTGTCAGTCTCAAGAATGTCATGGGAAAAATAAAAAACCGAGATAAATATCATATTCCGTCAATGGCTGGGAAATCAGTGTCTCTGGAGCCAACTTCCTCCACTCTCAAAGCAGCCACTATTTATTCCATGTATACAGTGCTAGGTGGGGCTAGCAAAGGATTACAATTTATCCAAAGACTTGACTCCGGAGGGCATAGATAAACTTATATTTGAAGTATCTTGACCCGAGTATAATCTGTGATGATTTAAGAAGATATAGATGAGGGGCTGGGGATTTAGCTCAGCGACATAAGCACCTGCCTTGCAAGCAGGCGGCTGTGAGTTTGATCCCTGGTACCAATAAAAAGAGAAAAAAAAAAGATATAGATGATCTTATGCTTGGAAAACCCAAATGGGTGGTACCAACAATCCCAATCCTTCCTCTCATCCCACAAGGAAATATGCAAAACCTGTCACTGTGAATTTGTGGCCCCCAACAATAGAGACAGGTTTGTCTTCCCCCTTGCTTGCTTGCTGTCGCTGCCTTCCACTTGCCATGAGTTAGTTCTTATCTGTGTCCACCTCTGCCATGTCCC